CCATAAAGTCGAATCTTAATGTTAATGTCTTCCTACGTGTTTGTTCCATAATTAATGGGCTGCTCGCTCATTATGCAAGAGTCTTAACGATTCGTCCACAAGACTCGGAACAAATAGTTGTTCTTGCATATATAATGAAGAATTATGAATGTCAATATTTGGTCAGGGCTCAGCAAATATTATTTGTAAGAGCCATGAATCATCCTGGTTAGCTTAAGGATAATTATTTATTCAGCAAACTGCAATTAAAAGCACATTCTTTGACTGAAAGATAGTTTGACTACGAAGGACTTGAATTGGAATCTTGAATGAATTTAGTCATAGCTCCTTCTTTAATCAAGGAAGCACTTGGCTAACTTCAATAAAATGTATAATTCCAATGGAATAATAAATGTATAGTTAATGTTGGATATCTTAAAACTATCCCACTGCCCATATGTTCTCTTTTAACAAATTGCTGAAATGAAACTTAAATCTGCAGGAAAGTTTACTTTTCAACTCGCATGCTGCCATTTGCAGACCTACAGATAGACCGAAATAAATTGGGCGTAAATAAATCAATGACATGGAAGGGCTGGGACTGAAGAGTTTCCAGCCAGAGGTCACAAAGGCAACCGGAATTGCAGCTGGCTGAGATCCGAGAGGCGAGATAAACAAATCGCATGAAGAAGGGGAGACTAATTGCAGCCTGTTGCCGGAGTTGTTGCCTCTGCAGCTGCTGCCTCTGTGGGTTTTATCTTTTAATTTGCCACAAAACGCACAAAGTGCACTCAACACCCCAATCTGCCGCGTGGGTGTGCATCTACCAGTGTTTGCTAGCCAGCAGATGGAGACCACGACGAACCGAACTTGCTGCCCAGGCCTGGGAATCCTCTCACTTTTTTCACATGCACTCCCCATTGTATCCATGCAGCCAAGTATCCAAGTATCCAAGTATCCATGGGATGTGCCGCACCATCGCATCAGGCTGACGATGATGAAGATCCCAGCTGCCTGGCCGACTGCCTGCCCGCTGCTTGCTGGATATGACACAGATTACGTAACGCGAAATTAACATTTTAACACAATTCAACAGAGAGAGAAGACGATGACGCGGCGGCTGCAACGTCTGCCGCTGTCTCAGTCGGAGAAATAAAACAAGAAATTTAAGCCTTAATCTTAGAGACCGCAGTTGGGGATACCCTCTCAGAGACAGTGTTTCCATGGTTCGAGATATATTGATAGGATGTGGTAAAAACCCTTCATTAGATTTTCAAAATTAATTAAAGCTAATGACAATCTTTTACCCAAAGTTATTTTTCTGGATTAACTTCACTGGTAAATCTATCTTACAACAAAAGTATCTATAGATACATATATGTTTTAATAAAATAATTTAAATAATATTCTTTTGGCTTTTAAGAAATATATTTCTTTTTAATTATTAGAATATAGATCCAGAAAAATATAATAACCCCTACAAAATGTCAAAACTATACCAAACCCTGCTCCAATATATACTATTATTTAGTTTTAAGGATAAAGAAAGAAAATATATCTTGTACTTCAAGGCTGTAGAAAAATCCAAGTACCCCTAGTAAAGCGTAAAAATGCAAAAGAGTAAAAGTGGAAATGGGAACCCGTTGCGGATTGGACTGCTGCCGCCCCTCCTGTTTTTGGGACCTGCCCATTTGGCCGGCGATGGCTCATCAGTCTTGGCTTTTTCCCCCACGAGGTGGCCAACAGAAGGGGCTCAAATACCGGGAGGACGACGGCGATGATGATAATGATTATGACGACGACGATGGCCAATGCATGAGCATTTCGGCACTGGGAGTTACGCCTCTTGCAGTCAATTATGCAATTAACGTTTTGCCAGCAAACAAGAAGCAAATGCGCCAAATGAGCCGCGTTTCCTACACATTACTACCACACATTAGTCGTCGAGGCTTTGACAAAACAGACTCGAAGGCAGATGGCAGATGCAAATGCTGTCGATCGATAATTGGTTGTGCAAAAAAAATACAATATTGCAAAAAAAAGAAACCAAAAGAAGAAATAGCTGACAAAGTAGTGATACTCGTACTCAATCCAAAGTTACAATCGCCCGGAGCTAGCCGGCTGACAACTGTGAGGTGTCATCGCCCCAAGTGAGCAATAATATTATTCCCCCTCCGATTTCGACTGATTGTTTTGCCTGCGGTGTGTTTCCCAGCAATTAGATGATGGGCTGTGATTTGCAACTCGTGCAAACGAATTTAGGAAACACTTGACAAATATTGACAAAGTGCAATGGCAAAAGGGAATGCCATCCACGCAAAAATTAAATGAAAAGGCTGAAACAGAAATGTGATCATTGGGTTATTTTAATTTTTTCTCTGACAACTTAAGACCTCCATTTAGCCTTCCTGTTGCCCACTCAAGCAATTAAGCTCTAGCCAGATTACCCAATATATTTGTAATTTTCAATCGAGTTTTTACAACGGGCGACAATTACGATTTCGAGGAAGCTGCGACACAGTCGAGCGAGCTCCCATGGGGAGACCGAGTAATTTTGCTAATCATTTCAACTGGCAATTGGCAAAATGCTCAAAGAAAGATGCCAAGACACAAGGAAGAAATTGTCAACGATGGACGATGGACAAAGATGGCAGCCTGAGCGAAGGGAGCAGTCATGAGAAAATGAGAAATCCAAGTCAGCAAAATTGTTGCCGGGTTAAGTAACCAAATAACTATTGGTAGCCACTTTTTGGGCAAACTGTGTACATCGAAGGATGGTCAGGGAGTTTGGCCACTGGACAGAGGAGCTGGGAGAGGGGAGCCACTGCATCGCAAAAGTGAATGGCAGATGAAGCTGCATCGCCTTGGGCTCGAATTGGGTAACATGGCACAGCGGTGGGCGAAACTGTCAGCAATTGTTTTATTTTCATTTTTTAACTGGGTTTTTTTAGATGAAGGAGTCTGTCTGATCTCTTCGGTATTGGACAGTCATTGGGCTAACACCGGCATTCTCCCGCAAATATGGCAATTATAATTACTGGTCAATCTGGGTCCACAAATATGGGTCCCGTAATTAGAGAGGCGTAAGTTCAAAGGCGGTAAAGAAAATATTTTCAACCAGTAACAATATATTAAAGTTCCTAATAAGTTATCAGGAAGCTTTCTAGTTTGTTATCTAGACGATGATAAATGAACCTTATTGAACCCTTATTCTGCTGAAGAATATTACTTAATTCACTAAGAATTTTCTACTTAAAAATGGGATAAGATATGGTTTTTTACGAACCACGTTTAATTTGAATTTTAAGGGAGAAGACACCTTTTCCCAGCTGTGCTTTTTGGCCAGGAAAGGTCGTTGCCGGCTCCCATGTTCACACTCTTGGCCAACTGGCTTTCGGCTCTCCTCTTCTTCTGCTCAGCTGCACAATTGGCCATCGACTTAGGGGGCTCGTTTGACAACTAACGTGGTTACGTGGTCCTCAGACTCCAGTCAGCCCACCCCCACCCTCAGTGCAACTGATTTCCTGGAAGACCACAAGTCTTTGGTTAGGATGGCATCTTCAGACGGCGACTTGTACGCAGACGCAATGGCAATCGCATGGCATCGCCAGGCGGCAGAGGCCTCCAGCTGGCAAGTGGATAGGTTCGGGGACCCCTGTACCAAGTACGGACCACATGCACCGCATAAATCTTTTCTCATTTACTTTTGCCGAAATTCGGCTCGTGCAAGTTTATTGTAAATAGTGGCTGTGCCTTGCTCCGTGTGATTATGTGAGCATTACATGCCATTTGCCACGCTGCCACAGCCCAAAATCCCAGTCTTTAAAAATAAAATTATAAAATAAAAAATAAATTTATAAATACCCTGACTAATTAAATACAGTGAGGAATTTGAAGATATTTCCTTATAACAAAAAGAAAGTCAAACCACTAAGTTTGATACATGTACTATATAACATAATTCGACCCTAGACAAACAATACAATTTACAAACAGCTATCTTTAAAAGCTCAGAGGATAAACATCATATGCTAAGGTATAACATTTTCCCTTATTATTGCTTACCAACTAAAATACCATTTTTCATAGCCCTAGGCTTATGAAAGGTAATAATACCCTTTGTAAGGGTATAAAATCCACAGTGAGGAGCAGGAAGCCAGCCTTGCCACGCTTGCTCCCCATTGACCCCAGATTTTTCTCCGCCTAACCGAGGCTTGAAAAAAAGGGGAAAAAATGCAAAATCAATTTGAAGATTGCTGCTTCGACAGCTGTCGTCATCGTGGCTGTCGTTTCACCAGACTGCTAACTGCTGATGGCTCAGTTTGAGTCTTGGTTGTGCCTTAGGTTTGAGTTCACTTGGGCTAGAGCAGCCAGCAGGTGGGGGCTTGTCATTGACTGCAGATCGAGGCAGTGGCAAGGTGCTGCGATTGGGGTTAAACTTTAGAGTCAACAAAAGGCAAACAGGAGATGGCTAAGCTTATGCAAGAGGAATTTTGCCAATGAAGATTACAGTTATTTGCTTAAATATAAATTCCAAATGTACACAAACACACTAATTGGAAAATATTCAGTAATAACAATATTCAAGTGAATAGTGGATATTTTCATTTACCATTAAAGCTTAATCAATTATTTCTACGTGTCATTAAGCACGTTATAGAAACACATTTCAACCTATTGAAGGACTATAGAACGCTTACGCATTTTAAAGGTCAACAGTAGTACCAATGGAAACCTTTTTTAATCTTTTAAACAGTAAAAGGCTTTGTAATTATTGGTAATGGTACAAATTAATTAAATTAAATTGTTTAGATTTATTTATAAGAGTACTTTGTACGGAACTTTTAATTGCGCAGAAATTGACCATATGTAATGCCCACTTTATGTATTCAAACTAAGCCCCTTAGCCATGGCCACTCGCACAGGCGATTTGACTAATGGAAGGATCCTCTGAAACCCAAATTAGTTTTTGCGGTGGCCCAGATACAGATACTCAGAGATTTAAATTTAAATGGACTCACCTTGCGTTTGGAGCGGGCCATCCGCTGGTCGCGGGTGGTCTCCGCCTCCCCCGGAGGACGCTTCCCCCAGACGCGGATGGCGATGCGGGTGTAGGTGAAGACCAGGACTCCCAGAGGGACGACGAACTGCAGCGCGAACAGGGAGAGGGTGTAGTAGTACTCCTGCGTCCGCGAGGGCCATATCTCGCGGCAGATGTATCTGATGGATGCACGCGCACAAAGGACGTCACATGGAAGTAGCAGAGGGGGGAAGGGGGGCGGGGCAGTGCATTAGTTTCAAGTGGACAGTGGTGACGGGCCCCTGAAATCAACTGTCACAAAAAGGACACCCGCACATACGCTCTTGTAATCTCGGCTGAGTGCACAATTTCATTTTTATGCTAAGCCCTTCAGTTTCCTGCCAACAATGTCCGGACGCTCAGCTCCCCCAAAAACTTATTTTATTTTCATCGTTGCAACAGAGTTTCAGTTGCACGCAGTTAAAGCTTCATGAATTTTCATACTTTCTTTTGATAATAAAAAACTTAACAAACTCCATAGAGTATTTAAAACGATAAAAATGATTTCCTTTTCCCAAGAAAATTGTTTTTTTACAATTGTTCATAATGTTTTCAGTTGCTTACTAAGTTCAATATTAAGTGTTTATTTGTAATCCAGATCTCAGTGCAATTTCTCTAGAAAATTTCTGCTTATTTTCACTCTTTGGCTTCTTCTTCCTTTTCAATTAAACATGGGTGTCAGCATTTCAAAACGTGCCCGGCATATTTAATTTGTGGGAAAAAGCCTGCATTTGAGTCTGATATTTGCATTTACGTTATCCTCGCCCACTCGCTGATTGTCCTTTGGAGCGAAAATTAAAACTGCTGTCGGCCGCATTGCTCCCTTATTTGTGTGCAACATATTTAATTTACACACCACTTGAGAACGTGCCCCTTACTCCAGCAATGCCAGAACCCTGTACCACTTCTCCACTCAGGGATTGGATCCTTAAGTTAGAATTCCGTAGATGGACAGCAGTTAGGCCTAATGTCTGGCACATCCATCTCCTCACGGAGACAATTTCATGATACTAAGTAGCTACTTAAGGCCGCCTACACATGAGGCACAAACATAATACAAATGAAGCATTCAACAAAATGTAAACAAAGAGTTTTATAATATTTTTAACTAAATCAGAAATATTAAAGACTGAAAAACATAAATGAAATGAAAACAGAAATGTAATCTTGTACAAAATCATTAAGATGTTCCCTTAAAATAAAAAATAAAAGTAAATTCTACATAAATTTTTCCCCCTGAGTATAAATATCACTCGATTATACTCCGTCACATGTTGTTACTCTTGTTTGCTGATTGCTGTTTGAGGAGGTCGGTACTTACTTCTCACATTTCTCGTGCCAAGGCGACATGGGGATCTCGAGGCCCGAAACGAGGGGTATGGGAAAGGCCGTGGCAAGTGCAATAAACCAAACGCCGCTGATGATGAGGGTGGCATAGCTGAAAAAGAGGTAAGAGGCCATGTTTGAGTGGGTGTAAGTACATTTGACTCGCTGTTTAATTTTTAAAATCTGTGTTATTTTTAGACATTTGTTATCCGCTTGCTTTTGGCTTTTGAAGAGTGCTCTCATAAATTGTTAAATTCATTTCTGCCCCAACGTGGCGTATGGGTGATGCTGGGAGTTTAACGGAGCATGATAAGAGGGCATTAAGCTGCCGTATGGTTTGTTTTGGCCTAAAGACCTCTCAGCAGTAGCTGCGTGCGCGTAAATTACAATCATGGTGAATAATTATCAGCCATATTTACGTTTGTTCCCGCAAATATTTGCAGAAGCCACGAAGGATGACTTTCGCCGCCCAGAAACACACTCAAACGCAGTCACGCACACGCAAGCCCTGACGTCAATATTCAACAGTGAGAAAAAATCAATAGGAAATTAAATAATAATTATAACAAATAAGAAAAGGTAAAAATGAAAATATATAAATATATTAGTTAGAAACAAAAGTATCTTAAATACTAAGGATATATTTTTTCTGGCAGATGCATTACATCTCCTTCCCGAAACGGGCGTTCAAAGTCGACGAAGCGTGAAATACTCACGCCTGCTCTTCAACTCGGCGGGAGATGAGATGGATGTCAGTGGAGTGAGATTTTCGAGGGGAACAGCTGTATCCAGTTACCAAACAAATTGACGTTTGCTGTGCCTCTGACCAATGGTTGTTTGCCGGCCTGTCGCTTTGGATTTTCAGCAAACGCTGCGTCAGGCTCTCGTATTACTATTTAAACTAATTAACACAAGGCGACGTGCTGACCAAAGGCCTGCCGAAAGCCCAATCCCTTGGGAAAGTCACTTAGGTCAAGTGGTCAAAGTGGACACCAGTGTAAATACCCCAGTGGCCACTTGACGGTGTCCAGGCACGCCAACGAGTGTGCCAACTTAGCACTTAGTTAACGCTTTTGGAAAATGTACTAAAACATTGGCAAGAGAGTTAGTACGAAGGCTATGTTGTAGAACACGCATGAGTAGCTCCTCTTTTTCAGGAAAATGTACAAAAATGTATACAAGTCTTTAAAGTGTAAACAGATTTTACATTCAGTATGGAGCCTCATTAGCACACACATGTTTTGTATTTTCCGTGTTCCATGATAACTTTTAATTTTAATCCTCTTTGAATATATAAAGGCATTAATAATATTCATTACCTTGCATAACCAACAAATTTAAATTGAATTTACTACTTAAATTGACCCCATAAAAAGGGGTGAATTTTGTAGTAGAAATAAGTATCCTATTTTAAGCTTTAAATACTGTATAAAAAAATGAACAATTTAAAGGGTGAGTATTTATAGAATTAAACTTAAAATACTGTAGAAAAAAATGTGCGGAAAATGAATAAAAAAACGAATCAACAAAATATAAGCTCCGTACGCCGAAGGAAAAAACATAAGTCCTTTGATGAATTTTCGCAATTCCATTAAGCCAAGTGAATAAAAATAAAATGGATCATTTTGGATTTTACTGACGAGATGAAGGCCCAAAGATCCTATAGTTCATGTGTAATAACTATCTTGCAATTAGATGTTTTATATATAAGTAAAATAAACAATTTGGTTTATAGAATGTAGTAATGAAATTCAATGAAATTTCTCCGTTGACTTACCGTTTTGTGATGCGTGGCCGCAGGGGCCACATGATGGCTATGTAGCGGTCGATGCTGATGGCCACCAAGGTATAGGCGGTGACCAGGACAGAGACCGCCTGCGAGTAGTTCACAAAGTGGCAGAGGACCACGCCAAAGGGCCAGTAGTTCAGGATGAACAGCGAGATGAAGGATGAGGGCACGCAGAAGAAGGACATCAGGATGTCGCCCAGGGCCAAGCTGGCTATAAAGTAATTGGTGACTGTGCGCATGCGTGGCGTGGACTGAACGATATAGCAAACGGTTCCATTGCCGATCAAGGCGAAGATAAAGATGGGAATGTAGAGCATATAAACAAGGCTCTTGAAGTAGACACTGGACCACAGATCCTCCGACTGGATGTCTTCACCGTCGCAGCTAAAGTTCATCATCACGGTGATATTAAAGGTCTCATACTGCAGGCTACTGAGGGTCGTAGTCGTTCCATATCCATCATCGCCCCTCTGCAGAGCATCTGTTACATTGTATAGCAGCGAAGCGGACTCTGGCAGGAATCCCTCCTGGTAGTCCTCCTCCTCATTCCTCAGGAGTGGCTGCTGGGGAGCTATGTAGAACATCCTGTCGTTGAGCCCACCCAACCGACTGCTGCCTTTAAAATTCATGCTTTTGTCGAGCTCCATTCAAGTGCGTCAATGGGGGAACCTTAAACTCTTAAGACTTGAGAACTTTTCTCAGCATTCTGGGCCAAAATCCAGACTCTTCAAACTTTACTGCTGCCTGCCATTATCTGCAAGTAAAAGTTGTGGCCATAATTAGCTGGGTTCCTTAATTATGTGCAGCACTACATTGCGGCTACTTGATAATTCGTCTTAAACATTTGAACAATAAACGTTGCATAGTTTCGGGCGGCTGTCAGTATAAGAGTTAGAAGTGGGCTATATCAGCATTATAAATACCCCCGAGCTGGAAATATGCAACCCTCTCTTAAGTGAAACAACAAAAAGCTCAAAAAGATTTTGATATTCTAATAATGAGTGTTAAAAATGAAAAATAATTAGCAGAAGTGAAACTTTAGATGCAACTGGTAAGCACTAAGTCCCAATTAAAAACAGCTAACAAACATTTTCTAGTTCATATTTAAATTCCCGTTAAACCCCCTTTCTATGAATAGGATATTTAAAGCAAACATAAGATTTATTTACATTTACGCCAGCAAAGTTGTAAAGGCAATTGAAAATCAGCAATCAAATACCAACTTGACATACGTGGGGGGTTAAAGTAATTTAAATGTGGGTCTGTCGAAATGTTGACATGTACTCTATTAAGTCAGCTTCTCTTCGTTTTAATATCTTGCTGAATGAACTCTGACATCTCTCACCACCCACTCATCCACCCACAGGAAAGGACAGGATAAGGTTATCAAGTGGGTAAATTGTTTATTTCAGCACCATAATGAGGTTGGGACTTTCGCAAGTGTCTGAGTCGTGTGTGGAATCTCTCCCTGCTTTTTTTTATCAATTACCCCAGAAAATTCCTCGATGCGGGAGACTTCTTCAGAAAATCCCTTTCAGGACAGATTGAAGTTGTTTGCTTATTGGCATTTCAGGCCGCTTTCGTATATGTTTCCGGGTAAAGGTTGAGGAATTTATTCATTAATGTTATTCAAATAATTTTGGGTTCTGGAATTTTCGATAATCAGGCTATGAAAGTAAATTACGCATTACTTCAAGTGTCATTTGATAACGTAGAGTGCAAAATGAGGTTGCTAATAGTGCAAAATATGCGATTATACGAATTCTTTAAAAATAACCTGTCCAAAGTTCCAGTTTGCTGACAGAAGTTAAGGTTTTTACTCAGTACTTTATTCTTTCCACTCACAAAAATCACAGATTCTAAAACATGGTTTAACATATCGCTGGCAATCAAAAATGTATTCATCGATATGCAGCCCTTGATTAATGAACAACTCATCAATTTTGTATTAACAAGAAATGGGAAAATGGGAAAATGTGCGGCGAATGCCAAAACACGGAAAATAATTACGCACTGGAGGCCACTCGTTCATTATTCCGAAGGTACCACCTTATATCGTGAAATAAAAATGGCAAACCAAGGCAACAAATTCAAATTAAAATAGACTTCATAGACCTCTGGCAACTCGAAGGGAAGGGAAAGTCTAGAACATGAAAATAATGACGGTAATAAAATAAAATGCAAAGTATTGACAAGAAATCACGTACAGGAATGGAAAACACACTGTGGATATGTGCGCCATTGTGGGTGTAATAACATCTCTGATTTTCCTTGGGAAAGGCAGCAAATCAGATTTTTTGGGCTTAGTTGGCGCCTAAATTTGTTTAACGGGCTTTTAGGCTCGGAGCAAAAAGTAACAGCCAATAACAAAGACTTTCGCTAGACACAAAAAGAACAGGTAGGCGACCGCCAAAATGTATTTCATAAATTAAATTTTCTGCCAAGGACAAACAAAGTAAATAGGCAAGCAAAACAATTTTAAAGAAAGCCTAGGATTATGACTAATTTACAGCCCTTCAATAGCTGCGGATTTTTGAAAGGATTTTATGGGCTCAGTGGGCAGTCCTTTCTCCCAAAAATAGAATGGATTTATATTCCAAGGTAAGGCAAATGCAATTATCTTAACTCAATAGCGGGCTATAATTCTTCTTTAAAACTGATTTAAAATGGCGTAATATTCTTCGCCTCTGGGCGTGCTTATCATGTCTTGTCGAAATTCCATTAAATGCTAAACATTACAAGGTATATTTAAGGTCATAATCTATCTTAATTGCTAAACAACAAAACACTTACACATATTATCTTCTGTTTATATATAAAACATTAAATTCTATCAAATCCACTAAAAACAGCCAATCAGTTGATAAAAAGCCATCAGATTCGGTATTCCAAAAAAAACCTTCAGATTATCTTCAATTTACGTGAATTACCTAGTCAGCAAAAGAAATACCCCTCGATCTAATCTACTGCAGATAAGTCGACCACCATGGGACCTATAAAGAGCCTTCAAAAGAACTGGACAACCATTAGTTGCGCGATTTACTGCAATATGAAGACATTCCTAATTTTGGCAATCTTTGCTCTAGCCGGTAAGGACAACAAACCATCTTTAAAGGATTTTAAATCTTAAATTAAATATAATATTCTTCAACAGCTTCGGCTTATGCTGTGGAGGAATCCGAACGCGTCAACGGTGAGAACGGCTGGTACGTTCCCCAGTTGGACGGCTCCCTCGAGTGGGTGGACAAGGATGTGGCTGAGGAGTGGATGGATTCCCAGGAGAAGCTTGAGGGCCGCGGCCTGACCACCGTACCCGTGAACTTCTACCTGTTCACCTCCTCCAACCCCTCCAGCAGCAAGCACATCTACGCCACCAAGAAGTCCATTGATGCCTCCCACTTCAACGCTGCCCACCCCACCCGCATTGTGATCCACGGCTGGACCCAGAGCTACCTGAACAGCATGAACTCGGACATCCGCAAGGCCTTCCTCTCCCACGGAGACTACAACGTGATCATCGTCGACTGGGCCCGTGCCCGTTCCGTGGACTACGCCACCTCGGTGATGGCTGTCGCCTCCACCGGAAAGAAGGTTGCCGCCATGATCAACTTCCTGAAGGACAACTACGGACTGAACCTGAATGACCTCTATGTGATTGGCCACAGCCTGGGAGCCCATGTGGCTGGATATGCCGGCAAGAACACCAATGGCCAGGTGCACACCATTGTGGGTCTGGACCCCGCCCTGCCCCTCTTCAGCTACAACAAGCCCAACAAGCGTCTGAATGCCGACGATGCCTGGTATGTGGAGTCCATCCAGACCAACGGAGGTACCCTGGGATTCCTGAAGCCCATCGGCAAGGGAGCCTTCTACCCCAACGGAGGACAGACCCAGCCCGGCTGCCCCCTGGATGTGACCGGAGCCTGCTCCCACGGACGCTCCACCACCTACTATGCTGAGGCAGTGGCCCAGGATAACTTCGGAAGCATTAAGTGCGGAGACTACGAGTCTGCCGTTTCCAAGGAGTGCGGAAGCACCTACAGCAGCGTTCGCATGGGAGCCGATACCAATGCCTATATGGTCGATGGTGACTTCTATGTGCCCGTGAACAGCAAGGCCCCCTTCGGCATGATTAACTAAACGCTTCACAATAAATACCATTGCTATATACATTATCTGACAAGTCTTTGAATTTTATTTTTATGCAAAATTCACTCCCCTTCGTTAAATTCTTTCATAAGACATGCCATAATGTCAGTCACTTGTCTACTTGACATTTTGCTGTCCGACTTGTGGTTTATATATCTATTAATCTTTATCAAAGACTCGGTTTCTTGGCCAATTAAATTGAATAAAATCTTAATCATGGGCACCACTTAAACTAATTTTATGCTGTTAAGGATATTTTCTGAAATCCTCTTGCTCCTTGAAGCTAAAGTGACGAGTTCTGCAACTAAATATTTACCATACCAGACCAGAAAATCATATTTGATAGGCAGAGTCATCTTTTGCTTTTGGCCATGTTTACTTTTGTTGGTCGTTCACATTCTGGCTTACTCAGTACGTACACTGAAATTAATACTTTAAGTTAAGAGTAGTGGTAGCATTGTTATCAATGAAAAGATAAATTGTGATGCAAATATATTAAAATATAAATATTTTATTTTAGGTTAACGTACAGAGGAACTTTTTTGCTACTTCTAAATTCTCTCGGTGCAACCTCCAACATAAACGGCAATATCCTTAGCAATGTCGTCAGAAGCATTTTGCCACTTTGTGTGGCATGTTTGTAATTATAATTAATGAGCAGCAGGCAAGCGCAGTTTTGCCCACGGCAAAGTCAACTATGTATACTGTATTGTATTTGAAGGAACCACCCACCAAGTATTTAAATACGAACTGCTTTCTCGACGGGTGGTCTGTGGGTCCCAATTAGCTGTGAATATGCCAAGTATTTGTCTACGAGTATGTGCAGCTGTTGGGTAGAAGATTGAAGTTGGCCGCCTCTACTTTAGATTGACGTTAAGCATCCGATAGGATATTTTTGGAGCGAGCTCTTGAGGCGCAATAGACTGATAAGGGGATTTCTTGACCTTTAGCCCGCCCCCACGAAAATAGAATTTTATTCGCCCTCTGTCCTTGTTTATGGGCTGTCAAGTTTATTATTTCTTGTGGCTCCTGTGTAAAATTGAATTTTATTGTACCCATTCTCTTTACACATATGAGGGCAGTGATTTTTTGTGGCCTAAAGTCCTCTTAAAGCAATGGAAAATGGGGTTTGGCTTTCTGGCAACTCATGATGACATAATCCCCTGGAATCCGAGTAAAAGCTGGGATAGGTTTGTATATTTACCTAATATTCAAATTGGCCTGCTGTTTTCATTTCATTTGCTTAATCAAATGCTCAAAACTATTTATCAGGATGGGGAGCACGTGTCACGCGAAATGCGACACTTTTCGAAATGCTATTAATTCAACAAGTTCACTGAATCTGTCACCGAGTTGGGGTCCTGGTCCTCTGCCCCCGATATTTTGGTCTTGTGTCCACAAAGGCAACCCCACGTATACATAATAAATTTTAAAAGTCGTGGGTGGTCTGTGGTGTCTGTTCGTGTTCATATTTGCGTTATTAATTGAATTAATTTCTCAATAAGATATGATAGCCTCGAATGAGGCTCATTTCACAAAAGTGCCTGAAAGTATGCAAGAAAAATCAAATTAAAAAAATATGTAACTTCCGTTTAAGTATCTCCATTAAGATTAATCATTTCCAGTTTAAAAAAAAACTCAAAAAATGATATTTGCTTGATTGTTTTCCATTTATTTACCCTCACTAAACACCTTCTGTGAGTACTTATACCCTTGATTACAAACAACCAACTGACCGAGATAACGAATGTCGAGCAAAACAAGAACGTGTTAAATTAAATACCCATTTAATGATACCTCCAATTAAGTCCACTTAGCCCGACTTACAGGAGATTAAGTTCGTTGAGGGCACCTCCTGCTGTAATCGACAGCTGATAGTGGATGGATTCGTTGCCATTCAAGACTCGTGCTCCCCTAGATTGGAACTCACATTCACTGACCATGAGCATGAATTTCCATAGTCATAAATTCGCAAACCTCGAAGAATCAGTTTGCAAATCGACCACGAATGGCGCAATTGAAAAGCCAATCAGTTGATAAAAGTGCCATCTGATTCGGAATTCCTGCAAAAAAACACTTGCAATACGGCAAACAATCAGATTAATTTGAATGTACCCCAACCACCCAGTCAGCTCAAGTAATTCCACCCAATTTAATCTTTCGCCGATAACTTGGCCCACTAGGGACGTATAAAAGCCCCGGGTTTCGGAATCAGCAACCTCAGTTGTGGGCTCTACTACATTATGAAGACATTCCTAATTCTGGCACTCATTGCTGTAGCCGGTAAGTTTTAAAAACCAATCTTGGAGAAGGAAAACTCCTGAAGAATTCGCTTCCTTTTAGTTTCGGCTTTTCCCTTAAAGGAGGAATTGGAGGAATCCGAGCGCATCCACGGGGAGAACGGCTGGTACATTCCCCAGGAGGATGGCTCCTCCGTGTGGGTGAACATGGATGTTGCCGAGCAGTGGATGGAGGCCCAGGAGCTGCTGGAGGGCCGTGGCTTGACCACCGTTCCCGTTAAGTTCTACCTGTACACCTCTTCAAACCCCACCAAGGGCACGAAGATCACCACCACCACCAAGTCCATCGGCGCCTCCAACTTCAATGCTGCACACCCCACTCGCTTTGTGATCCACGGATGGACGCAGAGCTACACCGCCAGCATGAACAAGGACATCCGCAGTGCCTGGCTCTCCAGGGGAGACTACAACGTGATCATCGTCGACTGGGCCCGTGCCCGTTCCGTGGATTATGCCACCTCCGTCATGGCTGTGAGTTCCACAGGCAAGAAGGTGGCCAGCATGATCAACTTCCTGAAGGACAACCACGGACTGAACCTCAATGACGTCTATGTGATTGGTCACAGCCTGGGAGCCCATGTGGCTGGATATGCCGGCAAGAACACCAACGGCCAGGTGCACACCATTGTGGGTCTGGACCCCGCCCTGCCCCTCTTCAGCTACAACAAGCCCAACAAGCGTCTGAATTCGGGGGATGCCTGGTATGTGGAGTCGATCCAGACCAACGGAGGTAACCTCGGTTTCTTGAAGCCCATCGGCAAGGGAGCCTTCTACCCCAACGGAGGAAAGAGCCAACCCGGCTGCGGACTGGACTTGACTGGCGCCTGCTCCCACGCACGCTCCACCACCTACTATGCTGAGGCTGTGGCCCAGGACAACTTTGGAAGCATCAAGTGCGGAGACTACGAGTCTGCCGTTTCCAAGGAGTGCGGAAGCACCTACAGCAGCGTTCGCATGGGAGCCGATACCAATGCCTATATGGTCGATGGTGACTTCTATGTGCCCGTGAACAGCAATGCTCCTTTCGGCATGATTAACTAAAAGTTATTAAATAAACTAAGGTCTCAGAAAGTATCAAGTCTCTAAGTTTTAGAATGTAATGTAAAAGAGAGCGAATACATGAGCAACATATATTTTAGACTATTTAAAATACACAGAATAAAAAATTAATTAATAATATTTAAAACGTACATTTTTTAATAGTTATTGGAGTAAGAGGGTATATTTGTTTCGTCGGAAAGCTGTAACAGGCAAAAGAAAGCGTTCTCGACCCGACTTAAACATTTTAAAGATTTTGTAAATGGGGTTTGGTTCTGTTTATCAATACATATTAACCTTTCTGCATTATGTTCAAATCGGACCATTCATAAAGAACCATATGAAAAAAAAGCTGTAATGGCCGCTAGGTGGCGCCTTGTTGCTTTCATATCTCCTTCTCCCTTGCGCACCCTTTAGTTCAGTAACGGGTATCTGATAGTTGAGGCACTCAACTATAGCGTTCTTCCTTGTTTTTATTGTTGATCCATGATTCCTATTTGGCCATGAGAAAAGTGGTTCGATTGAACAAAAAAATAATAAATCTGACCCCACGCTTAGAAACGTGTGTCAGAATGAACCTTGGGGTTCCTTCAATGAACTTCCTTATCGGATTTAGACGATCATAAAACATAGCATTGTTCAACCAGCCGTTTAAGTTTATTGACATTTATGGCTGCACTTGACCATTTCGGATTTCCTTGGCAGTTATTCACAGCGTAACAACGATTTCACTGAAGAAAGAAACAATAAAAATTGGTAAGCAATAAAAATTTTCCAGTTGTAAAACAATAATCCCTTTACAAAAAAATATTGGTCAAACCTGAAACCGGACTTTCATTTATCTAATATGCCCTACTACTTCCGATCAAGTTGAGAATCTTGACCCTGAACGTTATCTTTGTGTTGATGCAAGTTCTAAGGCTTAACTGTATTAATTTCCGCTCTTATCAGCTGGAGAAAACCATACGCTATCAAAGCACATACTAAGTATTTGCTCTAATCTTTTGTATCGACCCTATCTTAGTGTTCAGAAGCTGTCAAAGCTCTCGAGTGCTTACTGATATTAAATGGTGATTGCGGTGATTATAACCGTCCTATAAAAGGCGGGGAACAAGTGCACTCTTCAGCACAATTGTTGTGAGACCCCCCAGCATGAAGGTGTTTTTGGTTCTAGCCACTTTGCTGGCAGCAGGTAAGTTCTACTGAAGATTCTATTTCTCAAGATATATATTATTACAATCCTTATAGTGTCCGCCCTGCCCATTGATGAGCGCGTCAATGGAGAGAATGGTTGGTTCATTCCCAAGATTGATGGAAGCTTTGAGTGGATGGAGAGAAAGGATGCCGAGGAGCTGATGGCCAATGGAGCCCAGATGGAGGGACGCCTCAGCACCAACGCAGTGAACTTCTACCTGTACACCAAGTCCAACCCCACCGATGGCAAGGAAATCAAGGCCAGCGCAGGATCTGTGGACGCCTCCCACTTCAACAAGAACCATGGCACCCGCTTTGTGATCCACGGCTGGACCCAAAGGTACACCGACGACATGAACACCCGCATCACCAAGGCCTGGTTGTCCAAGGGCGACTACAACGTGATCGTCGTGGACTGGGCCCGTGCCCGTTCCGTGGAATACGCCTCCTCCGTCCTGGCTGTCCCTGGAGCAGGAGCTAAGGTTGGTGAGATGATCAAGTACCTGCACGAACACCATGGACTGGACTACGACAGCGTGGAGGTGATTGGCCACAGCCTGGGAGCCCATGTTGCCGGATACGCCGGAAAGACCGTTGGAGACAAGAACGTCCACACCATTGTGGGTCTGGATCCAGCCCTCCCCCTCTTCAGCTACGACAAGCCCAGCAAGCGTCTGTCCACCGACGATGCCCACTACGTGGAGTCTATCCAGACCAACGGAGGCAAGCTGGGATTCCTGAAGCCCATCGGCAAGGGAGCCTTCTATCCGAATGGAGGAAAAACCCAGCCCGGCTGCGGACTGGACGTTACCGGATCCTGCTCCCACGGACGCTCCGTGCTCTACTACGCCGAGGCCGTCACCGAGGACAACTTCGGAAGCATTAAGTGCGGAGATTACGAGGACGCCGTCGCCAAGAAGTGCGGTAGCACCTACAGCAGCGTCCGCATGGGAGCTATTACCAATGCCTACATGGTCGATGGTGACTACTACGTCCCCGTGAACAGCGAGGCTCCCTTCGGCAAGATTGAATAGGGTCCCTCCATCCTAATCATATTCTGAATAAAATACCAAAATGAATACTCCAAAAAATACAGTCTTACTTTACATGTTAAGATTTGTTTGATTAAAGTTCTAACAGATACATATATCAGGCACATTTAAGGGTGTTGATGATTCGGTTTTGTAGTACATTTTTTTTAACCTCTAAATTATACTCAGCAGCAGCCAATTATTTCGACAATGTACTTATAACTGAATTGCACTGGATTTTTCGAACCACTTCACAGCTAGTGATTAAATGTATATAATAGATTACAAATATTTTTGGCAGTATTTTTGTGGTTCTCTTTCTCACTTCACACATAGAAACTATACATACGCATAATATATTTACAAATACTATCATTTATAACCAATATAATTCTTATAATTGATAATATTATCATAAAATAACTCTATCCTGATCTCAAGTGTTCCAGCTAATGATAAGTTACAGACTATAAAAGCGCTGGTAAAAATGGTTTAGCTCAGTAGATTATGTGGAGATATCAGTATGAAATTGTTCATAGCACTAGTGGTCTCATTTGCAGCAGGTGAGTTTTATAAAGTATCTAAGAAGAATAGTTGTATAATTCCCATATATCTTTGCTTGCAGTGAGTGCTCTCCCCATCGAGGAGCCCGTCAACGGCGAAAATGGATGGTTTGTGCCCCAAGAAGATGGTAGCTTTGTGTGGATGAACATAGAAGACGCTGAGAAGCTCTTAGAGAGAAGTGAGCTCACTGAAAGTCGTTCCAATAACGTCTCCTTCTACCTGTACACCAAACATAACCCAACCGAAGGCAAAGAGATTATGGCCGATGCGTCCTCAATTGAAGACTCTCATTTCGATAAGAACCACGGCACTCGTTTTGTGATCCATGGATGGAAAGGACGTTACACCGATAGCAATAATGTCAATATCACAAAGGCCTGGCTTTCAAAGGGGAACTATAACGTGATCGTTGTTAACTGGGATCGCGCCCAGTCGTGGGACTATATACCTTCAGTGCTAGCTGTTCCTGGAGCTGGAACAAAGGTGGGACAGATGATAGAATACCTTCACCAACATCACGACATGTCCCTGGAGAGTCTGCAGGTGATTGGACACAGTTTGGGTGCCCATGTTGCTGGCTATGCAGGAAAGCATGTGGGGGACAAAAGGATCCACACAATAGTTGGTCTAGATCCCGCCATGCCTCTATTTTGCTACGATAGGCCCGACAAGCGTCTGTCCACCGAGGATGCCTTCTATGTGGAGTCCATCCAGACCAATGGGGGAGAAAACGGCTTCCTTAGGCCCATTGGCAAGGGCACCTTCTACCCGAATGGGGGGAGGAAACAACCAGGATGTGGTATTGACATTTTAGGATCCTGCTCCCACCAGCGATCCGTGAGCTACTATGTGGAGGCTGTTACCGAGGATAACTTCGGTACCATCAAGTGCAACGATTACCAGGATGCGTTGGCCAATGAGTGCGGAAGAACCTATAGTGGCGTTCGAATGGGAGCAGTTACCAATGCCTACATGGTCGATGGCGACTACTATGTACCAGTTAACCGTCACACTCCCTTCGGCAATATCAAATAGAGTCGTGTCGTAAAATATATTCGTTGTTTTCCAAAAATACTAAAAAAAAATACTAGAAAATAAAATTTTGCTTCAGTTATAATCCTACCTTAGCTTACCTTAACTAAATATGTTTTGTACAATTTTTATAATCAATTATCATTATTAATTGCCACACTATACACACACACACCATTCAAACTATAAGTGGTGTAGACTTATTTTAACATTTTTATTTGCCCTACTTAAATAGTTGTATATTTGCAAATGCTTTAATTTTTTATTTTATATGAATATTATAATGAAAATGCAAGGAATTGCCGATTCCGGATTTCTGGTACCAGAGAAGGAGGTGCAAGTCGATTGTGTAATCGACATTAAGCCGACTGGCTTAGGCTTGTCCAAGAAATTAGCATCCCTGGCGAAAGAACACTGCAGCATCGGGGAACTAAGGATGTTATGGGGACTTAAGAAAGGAACCCTATTGATGCGACACACGAACAGAATGTGCTGACTGCATTTTGGATACTGTACAGTTAAATGTGAAAATGGGGATAATTCCTCTTACACTTATCACTGCATAGGAGAATATTTTAAAAGAAAACATTTAAAGGGTTAATTATGAGTTAATTCTTAATGTCTTTCTTGTTCTTAATGTCTTTCAGAAATTTCACTTCTAGATTCCAAAACTTGAGTTATTGTATTCCAATTTTGAAGTGATATTCCTCAATGAGATTGTGTTTGAATTCTCTAATATTCTACATACAAATATTTATTTTATTCGAAGGTCAAAATTTTGACCCATTTTCGTGTTCGAATTTTTCTTATTTCCAAGGGCTTTCAGTATCGGAACCCAAAACTGCTCTTCTAATTTTCATAACTTGGGTAATTTTATCCCGAATTAGACGTGGGATACCTATATGCATTTGTGTTTGAATTTTCTAAAATTCTACATCCAAATATTTACACTTTACTACGGTCAAAATGTTGAACCATTTGCATGTTCTATTTTTCCTTATTCCCAAGGGCTTTTACTATCAGAACCCAAAACTGCTCTTCTAATTTTCATAACTTGGGTAATTTTATCCCGATTTAGCTGTGGGATACCTCTATGAGTTTGTGCTTGAATTTTATAATATTCTTCAGCCAAATATTTACTTTTTATGAGGGTCTAAATTTTGACCCATTTGCATGTTCGATTTTTCCTTATTCCCAAGGGCTTTCAGTATGGGAACCCAAAACTGTTCTTCTAATTTTCATAACTTGGGTAATTTTATCCCGATTTAGCTGTGGGATACCTCTATGAGTTTGTGCTTGAATTTTATAATATTCTTCAGCCAAATATTTACTTTTTATGAGGGTCTAAATTTTGACCCATTTGCATGTTCGATTTTTCCTTATTCCCAAGGGCTTTCAGTATGGGAACCCAAAACTGCTCTTCTAATTTTCATAACTTGGGTAATTTTATCCCGATTTAGACGTGGGATACCTCTATGAGTTTGTGTTTGAAATTTCTAATATTCTACTTCCAAATATTTACACTTTATTAGGGTCAACATTTTGAGCCATTTGCATGTTCGAATTCTCCTTATTTCCAAGGGCTTTCAGTATCGGAACACAAAATTGCACTTCTAATTTGCATAACTTGGGTATTTTTGTCCCGATTTAGACGTGGGATACCTTTATAAGTTTGTGTTTGAATTCTCTAATATTCTACATCCAAATATTTACTTTATACTAGGGTCAAAATTTTGACCCAATTGCATGTTCGATTTTTCCCTATTTCCAAGGGTTTTCAGTATCGGAACCCAAAACTGCTCTTCTAATTTTCATAACGTGGGTAATCTTATCCCGATTTAAATTAAATTGAATAATTTGGTTTGTTAAACTGTGTTTAATTAAAGAACTCAAGTTCATTTTAAGGGTGTTGATGATTCGCTTTTGTAGTACATTTTTTGTAACCTCTAAATTATACTCAGCAGCACCCAATTATTTCGACAATAACTGAAATAACTGAATTGCACTGGAATTTTCGAACCACTTAACAACTAGTGATTAAATGTATATAACAGATTACAAATATTTTTGGCAGTATATTTGTGGTTCTCTTTCTCACTTCACACATAGAAACTATACATACGCATAATATATTTACAAATACTATCATTTATAACCAATATAATTCTTATAATTGATAATATTATCATAAAATAACTCTATCCTGATCTCAAGTGTTCCAGCTAATGATAAGTTACAGACTATAAAAGCGCTGGTAAAATGGTTTAGCTCAGTAGATTATGTGGAGATATCAGTATGAAATTGTTCATAGCACTAGTGGTCTCATTTGCAGCAGGTGAGTTTTTTAAAGTATCTAAGAAGAATAGTTGTATAATTCCCATATATCTTTGCTTGCAGTGAGTGCTCTCCCCATCGAGGAGCCCGTCAACGGCGAAAATGGATGGTTTGTGCCCCAAGAAGATGGTAGCTTTGAGTGGATGAACATAGAAGACGCTGAGAAGCTCTTAGAGAGAAGTGAGCTCACTGAAAGTCGTTCCAATAACGTCTCCTTCTACCTGTACACCAAACATAACCCAACCGAAGGCAAAGAGATTATGGCCGATGCGTCCTCAATTGAAGACTCTCATTTCGATAAGAACCACGGCACTCGTTTTGTGATCCATGGATGGAAAGGACGTTACACCGATACCAATAATGTCAATATCACAAAGGCCTGGCTTTCAAAGGGGAACTATAACGTGATCGTTGTTAACTGGGATCGCGCCCAGTCGTGGGACTATATACCTTCAGTGCTAGCTGTTCCTGGAGCTGGAACCAAAGTGGGACAGATGATAGAATACCTTCACCAACATCACGACATGTCTCTGGAGAGTCTGCAGGTTATTGGACACAGTTTGGGTGCCCATGTTGCTGGATATGCCGGAAAGCATGTCGGGGACAAAAGGATCCACACAATAGTTGGTCTAGATCCCGCCATGCCTCTATTTTGCTACGATAAGCCCGACAAGCGTCTGTCCACCGAGGATGCCTTCTATGTGGAGTCCATCCAGACCAATGGGGGATTAAAAGGCTTCCTTAAGCCCATTGGCAAGGGCACCTTCTACCCGAATGGAGGGAGGAAACAACCAGGATGTGGTATTGACATTTTAGGATCCTGCTCCCACCAGCGATCCGTGAGCTACTATGTGGAGGCTGTTACCGAGGATAACTTCGGTACCATCAAGTGCAACGATTACCAGGATGCGTTGGCCAATGAGTGCGGAAGAACCTATAGTGGCGTTCGAATGGGAGCAGTTACCAATGCCTACATGGTCGATGGCGACTACTATGTACCAGTTAACAGTCAGACTCCCTTCGGCAATATCAAGTAGAGTCGTGTCGTAAAATCAATTCGTTGTTTTCAAAAAATACTAAAAAAAATACTATGAAATAACATTTTGCTTCAGGTATAGTCCTACCTTAGCTTACCTTAACTAAATATGTTTTGTACAATTTCTTATAATCAATTGCACCAGTAAATTATCATTATTAATTGCCACACTATACACACAGCATAATTTTCATAACTTGGGTAATTTTGTCCCGATTTCGACGTGGAACTCCTCTATGAGTTTGTGTTTGAATTTTCTAATATTCTTCATCCAAATATTTACTTTTTACTAGGATCAAAATGTAGACCCATTTGCATGTTCGATTTTTCCTTATTTCCAAGGGCTTTCAGTATCGGAACCCAAAACTGCACTTCTAATTTTCATAACTTGGGTAATTTTATCCCGATTTAGACGTGGGATACCTATATGAGTTTGTGTTTGAATTTTCTAATACTCTACATCCAAATATTTACTTTTTACTAGTGTCAAAATTTTGACCCATTTGCTTGTTCGATTTTTCTTTATTTCCAAGGGCTTTCAGTATCGGAACCCAAAAATGCACTTCTAATTTTCATAACTTGGGTAATTTTATCCCGACTTAGACGTGGGATGCCCCTATGAGTTTGTGTTTGATATTTCTAATATTCTACATCCAAATATTTACTTTTTACTAGGGTCAAAATTTTTACCCATTTGCATGTTCGATTTTTCCTTATTTCCAAGGTTTTCAGTATCGGAACCCAAAACTGCACTTATAATTTTCATAACTTGGGTAATTTTATCCCGATTTAGACGTGGGACACCTCTATGAGTTTGTGTTTGAATTTTCTAATATTCTACATCCAAATATTTACTTTTTACTAGGGTCAAAATTTTGACCCATTTGCATGTTCGATTTTTCCTTATTTCCAAGGGCTTTCAGTATCGGAACCCAAAACTGCACTTCTAATTTTCATAACTTGGGTAATTTCCCGATTTAGACGTGGGATACCTCTATGAGTTTGTGTTTGAATTTTCTAATATTCTACATCCAAATATTTACTTTTTACTAGGGTCAAAATTTTTACCCATTTGCATGTTCGATTTTTCCTTATTTTCAAGGGCTTTCAGTATCGGAACCCAAAACTGCACTTCTAATTTTCACAACTTGGGTAATTTTATCCCGATTTAGACGTGGGATACCTCTATGAGTTTGTGTTTAAATTTTCTAATACTCTACATTCAAATATTTACTTTTTACTAGGGTCAACATATTCCCCATTTGCATGTTCGATTTTTCCATATTTCCAAGGGCTTTCAGTATCGGAACCCAAAACTGCACTTCTAATTTTCATAACTTGGGTAATTTCCCGATTTAGACGTGGGATACCTCTATGAGTTTGTGTTTGAATTTTCTAATATTCTACATCCAAATATTTACTTTTTACTAGGGTCAAAATTTTTACCCATTTGCATGTTCGATTTTTCCTTATTTCCAAGGGCTTTCAGTATCGGAACCCAAAACTGCACTTCTAATTTTCACAACTTGGGTAATTTTATCCCGATTTAGACGTGGGATACCTCTATGAGTTTGTGTTTAAATTTTCTAATACTCTACATTCAAATATTTACTTTTTACTAGGGTCAACATATTGACCCATTTGCATGTTCGATTTTTTCTTATTTCCAAGGGCTTTCAGTATCGGAACCCAAAACTGCACTTCTAATTTTCATATCTTGGGTAATATTATCCCGATTTAGACGTGGGATGCCTCTATGAGTTTGTGTTTGAATTTTCTAATATTCTACATTTAAATGTTTACTTTTTACTAGGGTCAAAATTTTGACCCATTTGCATGTTTGATTTTTCCTTATTTCCAAGGGTTTTCAGTATCGGAACCCAAAACTGCACTTATAATTTTCATAACTTGGGTAATTTTATCCCGATTTAGACGTAGGATACCTCTATGAGTTTGTGTTTGAATTTTCTAATATTCTACATCCAAATATTTACTTTTTACTAGGCTCAAAATTTTGACCCATTTGCATGTTCGATTTTTCCTTATTTCCAAGGGCTTTCAGTATCGGAACCCAAAACTGCACTTATAATTTTCATAACTTGGGTAATTTTATCCCGATTTAGACGTGGGATACCTCTATGAGTTTGTGTTTGATATTTCTAATATTCTACATCCAAATATTTACTTTTTACTAGGGTCAAAATTTTTACCCATTTGCATGTTCGATTTTTCCTTATTTCCAAGGTTTTCAGTATCGGAACCCAAAACTGCACTTATAATTTTCATAACTTGGGTAATTTTATCCCGATTTAGACGTGGGATACCTCTATGAGTTTGTGTTTGAATTTTCTAATATTCTACATCCAAATATTTACTTTTTACTAGGGTCAAAATTTTTACCCATTTGCATGTTCGATTTTTCCTTATTTCCAAGGGCTTTCAGTATCGGAACCCAAAACTTGCACTTCTAATTTTCACAACTTGGGTAATTTTATCCCGATTTAGACGTGGGATACCTCTATGAGTTTGTGTTTAAATTTTCTAATACTCTACATTCAAATATTTACTTTTTACTAGGGTCAAAATTTTGACCCATTTGCATGTTTGATTTTTCCTTATTTCCAAGGGTTTTCAGTATCGGAACCCAAAACTGCACTTATAATTTTCATAACTTGGGTAATTTTATCCCGATTTAGACGTGGGATACCTCTATGAGTTTGTGTTTGAATTTTCTAATATTCTACATTTAAATGTTTACTTTTTACTTTGGTCAAAATTTTGATCCATTTGCATGTTCGATTTTTCCTTATTTCCAAGGGCTTTCAGTATCGGAACCCAAAACTGCACTTCTAATTTTCATAACTTGGGTAATTTTATCCCGATTTAGACGTTGGATACCTCTTCGCGTTTGTGTTTGTATTTTCTAATATTCTACATCCAAATATTTACTTTTAACTAGGGTCCAAATTTTGACCCATTTGCATGTTCGAGTTTTCCTTGTTTCCAAGGACTTTCAGTATCGGAACCCAAAACTGCACTTCTAATTTTCATAACTTGGGTAATTTTATCCCGATTTAGACGTGGGATACCTCCATGAGTTTGTGCTTGAATTTTCTAATATTCTGCATCCAAATATTTACTTTTTACTAGGGTCAACATTTTGACCCATTTGCATGTTCGATTTTTCTTTATTTCCAAGGGCTTTCTGTATCGGAACCCAAAACTGCACTTCTAATTTTCAAACCTTGGGCAATTTTATCCCGATTTAGACGTGGGATACCTCTATGAGTTTGTGTTTGAATTTTCTAATACTCTACATCCAAATATTTACTTTTTACTGGGGTCAAAATTTTGACCCATTTGCATGTTTGATTTTTCCTTATTTCCAAGGGCTTTCAGTATCGGAACCCAAAACTGCACTTCTAATTTTCATAACTTGGGTAATTTTATCCCGATTAAGACGTGGGATACCCCTATGCATTTGTGTTTGAATTTTCTAATATTCTACATTTAAATGTTTACTTTTTACTAGAGTCCAAATTTTGACCCATTTGCATGTTTGATTTTTCCTTATTTCCAAGGGTTTTCAGTATCGGAACCCAAAACTGCACATCTAATTTTTATAACTTGGGTAATTTTATCCCGATTTATACGTGGGATACCTCTATGAGTTTGTGTTTGAATTTTCTAATATTCTACACCCAAATATTTACTTTTTACTAGGGTCAACATTTTGACCCATTTGCATGTTCGATTTTTCTTTATTTCCAAGGGCTTTCAGTATCGGAACCCAAAACTGCACTTCTAATTTTCATAGCTTGGGTAATATTTTCCCGATTTAGACGTGAAATACCTCTATGCGTTTGTGTTTGAATTTTCTAATACTACTTTGTATCTTGTATCTTTGGATCACACATATCAATTACTTATCAAATAAGTACACAATTAGTATTATCTTTTCCATACATATACAATAATAATAAAATGATATCATTACCATATGTACACACCTATCAAGTGATATTTCCTTCTTGATCTGAAGTGTACTAGCAACTGATAAGTTAAATGAGATTTTATTTGAATAATCAATTCCTATCTTACAAAATGTTTAAGTCAGACCATTCATTAAGAAGTTATATTTAACCGCCGTTCGTTGATTTTATGGTTTTTGTTAAAATCAGGCCACCGACGATGTTGTGTAGCGAAAATAAATATGTTTTTTAATGATTTACATTTGACGATGAGCAAATCCGTTTGATATGCCAAAAAAATAAATATGGCCCACGCTCGAGTTTTGGTGTCGTAAAAGTTATTCACACGCTTAAATCGATTGGGGCGATTACATTGAAAACCAATGTTATTTATAATGAGTGATAATATTATCAAATAATACCGATCTTAAATGTGCTAGCTATTGATAAGTTACAGCGTATAAAAGGGCTGGTAAAATTGGTTTAGCTCACTAGATTCTAAGGAGATATCAATATGCGAGTGGTCATAGCTCTATCGATCTTTTTTGCATCAGGTGAAATTTAAAACAGTCCAGAAAAAAATATGTGCTTATAAATTCTTGTTTTAAGTAAGTGCTCTTCCTATCGAAGAGCTTGCGAATGATGAGAATGGATGGTTTGTGCCCAAGAAGATGGTAGTTTTGAATGGATGAACATTACGCACGCCGAGGAGCTTTTAGAGAGCAGTGTTCCCGTGGAAGGTCGTTCCAACGAAGTCTCCTTCTACCTGTATACCCAACAGAACCCCACTGAAGGTCAGCAGATTACTGCAGATGCTTCCACAATTGAAGATTCTAATTTCAATAAGGATCATGGCACTCGTTTTGTGATCCATGGATGGAAGGGACGATACACCGATAGCATGAGTGTAGATATTACCAATGCCTGGCTATCGAGAGGCGATTACAACGTAATTGTGGTCAACTGGGATCGCTCTCAATCTGTGGACTATGCGATGTCCGTAAGGGCTGTGCCTGGAGCTGGAACCAAAGTGGGCGAGATGATCGAGTACCTGCACGAACATCACGGCATGTCACTTGAAACCCTTAAGGTGATCGGTCACAGTTTGGGTGCCCATGTGGCTGGTTATGCTGGCAAGCAAGTTGGTGACAAGAGGGTTCACACAATTGTGGGTCTGGACCCTGCCTTGCCCCTTTTTAGCTACGATACTCCGGAGAAGCGTCTTTCCAGCGAAGACGCCTTCTACGTGGAGTCCATCCAGACCAATGGCGGTGTTAAGGGTTTTGTGAAGCCTATTGGGAAGGCAACTTTCTACGTGAGTGGAGGAAAGAAGCAACCAGGATGTGGAGTAGACCTTGCCGGAACCTGTTCCCATGCACGATCTGTGCTCTACTACGCCGAGGCCGTCACCAAGGACAGTTTCGGAACCATCCAGTGCCAGGATTATCAGGCTGCCTTGGATAATAAATGTGGCAGCACCTTCAGCAGCATTCGCGTGGCAGAGGATAGGAATGCTAACAATGTGGAAGGCTACTTCTACGTGCCTGTAAACAGCGAGGCACCATTCGGTAAAACCGAATAAATAAATATCAACAAGATATCAATAAAATGAGCTCCCAAAAACAAACGGTCTATTTGTGTCGGTTTATCTGCATCATGATAGAAGTCTGAGGGGGTTCTAATCACTGTCACAGAGCCAAGTGTTTGGTCGTACGTCAGTGGAAAAGGACAAAAAAAACCCATCCTCATTAAAATGCGAGTCGCCATTCATGAAGAGTCTTCCGCAGCAAGTCATGGTCACGTCTTCTTTAGATAACATTCATTTTGAATCAATTCGATTATTAGGAGGCAATAATTGCACTACCTCTTCATTATTACAATAACTTATATACATACTAAAAAGCTGTGCTTCTATAAAAAATATTTTAAGACTTGTTGATTTTAATATGTAAAAGTATAAACTAAACTTATCTGAGTACTTTAAGTATCAACATAACATTCAAACACCTGACCAATAGTGACATGAAAAATTTTATTGATAAACAATTTATTTATTTCATAAGCTAATCGCAAAAAGCTTAAGCGATTAATGGTGTATTCATATTGGTCACCAGCTTTGTTGTTATGACAGCGAACATTTGTTGATTACAGTTGACAGGTATTTGAACTTCAAATTTTGAAGCTCACTTTTAATAATAAACCAATTTTAATGAGGCCATTTTATTAAAAGACTAAAGATTTAAATCTTTTCTGAATACCCAGAGAAATTTTTTGACATAAATAACTTTTTAATTTTGACGAGTTGATAGTCTATCTAGGCACATGCAGATGATAATGGCGCTGATTGGATAATACGTCAGCTACTGCTGAAACTGTTGCCTATCAGAAACGTGAAACACTCAAAAGGGCCAAGAGGCCCGAAAGAAATCAATTCAATCAAATTAAATTCAAGATGGACATTCTGCTTAGACCAGATTGCCGAAACACATGTGGCCGCATCCACCACCTTATCGAGGGTAACGAATGGTCCGAGTGGCCAATTCAGTGGCCTATCTCAAGTGGCAAGCTTTGATATGTCTGCGTTTTGATCGGACGATGGGAGCCACCTTCCATATAAAGAACCCCCACGCCACCCACAGTTATTAGTTGAAGTTGACTTTGCAGCAATCATGAAACTGTTCTTGGCTCTGGCCTTCTGTGTCCTGGCGGGTAAGGTCCAGAATGGTCCAATCTTAGACCATATATAACTGAACTCGGTATACTTTCAGCTAATGCCGTTGAGGTTCGTGAGAACGGTGAGAACGGATGGTATGTGCCCCAGGCCGATGGAAGCATGGAGTGGATGGACCGCGAGTTCGCCGAGGCCTACTTGGAGACCAAGAACCGCATGGAGGGTCGCAGCCTCCTGAACCCCGTGACTTTCTACCTGTACACCAACAACAACCGCGATTCTCCTCAGGAGATCAAGGCTACTAAGGCATCGATCTCAGGCTCCCACTTTAATCCTGACCACCCCACCCGCTTCACCATCCACGGTTGGTCCTCCGGCAAGGATGATTTCATCAACTATGGAGTCCGCGATGCCTGGTTCACCCACGGTGATATGAACATGATTGCCGTAGACTGGTCACGTGCTCGTTCCTACGACTACGCCTCCTCTGTGCTGGCTGTTCCCGGAGTGGGTGAGCAGGTGGCCAACCTGATCAACTTCATGCGCACCAACCACGGTCTGAACCTGGACAACACCATGATAATTGGCCACAGCTTGGGCGCCCATGTCTCTGGTTATGCCGGCAAGAACGTGAAGAACGGCCAGGTGCACACCATCATCGGTCTGGACCCCGCCCTGCCCCTCTTCAGCTACGATTCCCCCAACAAGCGTCTCAGCTCCACCGATGCCTACTATGTGGAGTCCATCCAGACGGACGGAGGAGCCCTGGGATTCCTGAGGCCCATCGGCAAGGGAGCTTTCTACCCCAATGGAGGAAAGAGCCAGCCCGGATGCGGTATTGATTTGACCGGATCCTGTGCCCACAGCCGATCGGTGATCTACTACGCCGAGTCCGTGACGGAGAACAACTTCCCCACCATGCGTTGCGGTGACTACGAGGAGGCTGTGTCCAAGTCCTGTGGTAGCTCCTACAGCACCGTCCGCATGGGTGCCACCACCAATGCCTACATGGTATCCGGAGATTACTACGTTCCCGTCCGTAGCGATGCTCCCTACGGCATGGGCAACTAAGTCCAATCTGTAGTCAAATAAATTGAATGAAAGCTCTGTGAGCGAAAGCAATTTCTATTGAGCTTTATTCTACTGATACTCGGGGTTACTGTCGTGGATCGCAAGTTTGGGCTATGGGTGTATGACACCTACCTTACAATTATATAGCTTTATTTTTATTGGGTACACAAAGCCTTTAAATGATTTTCAGGAATCAAGGATGACATATCAATTTCTTATTGAATTTCTAATAACGAATTTATCGAGGTTTTTCAAATAGTTACTTCTAAAATTTAAACTATTGTTATATTCATGACGCAGTTGTTTTTATTTAAATCATTAACTCATTAGCTAATCTTACATTCTTTTATCTCTAATCTATTAAAACTGTGAAACCCAAAGTCTTGTTAGGTTTCCTAGAATTCTGTTAAGTGTTTATAACGTCACTTTTTCCGGGGGACTTGAATCGCACTGATTAGAAGGGATCTAATCACTTCGCTGTTGTTGCGCAGATTTTAACTTCCAATATGCAGACAAAAGGTATAAATAGTAGTACCAGGTCTAGCCATTAGACCATTCAAGAAATTTTCTTCAACGATGAGATTGTGCTTCCTTGTGCTGAGCTGCGTGATAGCAGGTGAAGACTTAGCACTTTTTATAAAAAAAATTCCGTAACTATAAATCGTTTACAGCTAGCGCCTGGCCCGTTGACCAAGTTTCGGTTCGAGTTCATGGTGTCAACGGATGGTTTGTCCCTCAAAAGGAGGGCGGCCTAAGATGGATTGGCAAAACGGAGGGAGAGCGCCAATTAGAATATTACGAGGCTCAGGAGGCGTTGGAAGGTCGTTGGTCCACCAACACGGTCAAGTTTTACCTCTACACACTCCAGAATCCCAGCACTGGACTTGAGATTAAGGCCACTAAGGATTCTATCGATGCCTCATTTTTTAATCCCGAAAATCCAACTATGTGAGTGTTTTTAAAAATATATATATATCTATACATACTATACTAACTAATGTTTCTGCAGAATTACAATTCACGGCTGGAACTCAAACTACAAAGATGGTGTGAACACCAGGATAGCCGAAGCCTGGTTCCAGTACGGTGACCACAATATGATTGCAGTGGACTGGTCCCGTGGACGTTCCTTGGAGTACGCCACCTCAGTGGCCGCATGCCCAGGAGCTGGAAAGAAAATCGCAGCACTTGTGGATTTTCTGGTGCAGGAATACGGCATTCGTCTGGACACTCTGGAAGTAGTTGGCTTCAGTTTGGGTGCCCATGTGGCTGGACAAACGGGAAAGCAGGTGACCACCGGAAAGGTGGGCAAGGTAGTGGGCTTGGACCCGGCCTCTCCCTTCATCAGTTACTCCAATACTGAAAAACGACTGCACAGCGATGATGCCGTGTATGTGGAGTCTATCCAGACCAACGGCGCCCTCTTGGGCTTCTCCGAGCCAATCGGTAAGGCTGCCTTCTACATGAACGGAGGTAGGATCCAGCCAGGTTGTGGAATCGATCTAACTGGCAGTTGCTCGCACACCAAAGCTGTGCTGTACTACGTAGAGGCACTGCTGTGGAACAACTTCCCTTCGAAGAAGTGCGAGTCCTACCATGATGCCAATAAGAACGCCTGTGGCGATCAATACAGTTCTATCTTGATGGGTGCTATAATAAACACATTAGTAGCTGAGGGTATCTTCTATGTTCCGGTAAACAAAGAATCTCCGTACGGAGTTGGAGAAATTAACAATGGTGGCGGAACGTCAGCGCCTCCTGTGACTACCACAGTGGTTTCAACAACAACCAAGAAACCCGAAGAGACCTCTACTACAGCCGAAGAACCAGAAACGACAACCGAGGAGCCCGAAGAATCCTCTTCAACTACCAAAAAACCTGAAGAATCCTCCACTACAACCGAGGAACCAGAAGAGTCGACCGCTGCTCCAGTGGAGTCCACAACCGAAGAGCCCGAGGAGGACTCTACAACATCCAAAAAACCTGAAGATCCCACTACAACCGAGGAACCGGCAGAGACGACTGCTGCTCCAGAGGAATCGACAACCGAAGAGCAAGAGCAGGACTCTACTACAACCAAAAAACCTGAAGATCCCACTACGACCGAGGAGCCAAAAGAGTCGACTGCTGCTCCAGAGGAATCGACAACCGAAGAGCCCGAGGAGGAATCTACAACAACCAAGAAACTTGAAGATCCCACTACGACCGACGAGCCGGAAGAGTCGACCGCTACTCCAGGGGAGTCCACAACCGAAGAGCCCGAAGAGGACTCTACAACAACCAAAAAACCAGAAGAACCCACTACAACCGACGAACCAGAAGAGTCGACCGCTGCTCCAGAGGAGTCCACAACCGAAGAGCCCGAGGAGGACTCTACAACAACAACAAAACCTGAAGATCCCACTACGACCGACAAGCCAGAAGAGTCGACAGCTGCTCCAGAGGAGTCCACAACCGAAGAGCCCGAGGAGGACTCTACAACAACCAAAAATCCTGAAGATCCCACTACAACCGACGAGCCAGAAGAGTCGACCGCTGCTCCAGAGGAGTCCACAACCGAAGAGCCCGAGGAAGACTCTACAACAACAACAAAACCTGAAGATCCGACTACGACCGACGAGCCAGAAGAGTCGACCGCTGCTCCAGAGGAGTCCACAACCGAAGAGCCCGAGGAGGACTCTACAACAACAACAAAACCTGAAGATCCCACTACGACCGACAAGCCAGAAGAGTCGACAGCTGCTCCAGAGGAGTCCACAACCGAAGAGCCCGAGGAAGACTCTACAACAACAACAAAACCTGAAGATCCGACTACAACCGACGAGCCAGAAGAGTCGACCGCTGCTCCAGAGGAGTCCACAACCGAAGAGCCCGAGGAGGACTCTACAACAACCAAGAAACCTGAAGATCCGACTACGACCGACGAGCCAGAAGAGTCGACCGCTGCTCCTGAGGAGTCCACAACCGAAGAGCCCGAGGAGGACTCTACAACAACCAAGAAACCTGAAGATCCGACTACAACCGACGAGCCAGAAGAGACGACCGCTGCTCCTGAGGAATCCACAACCGAAGAGCCCGAGGAGGACTCTACAACAACCAAGAAACCTGAAAATCCCACTACGACCGACGAGCCAGAAGAGACGACCGCTGCTCCAGAGGAGACCACAACCGAAGAGCCCGAGGAGGACTCCACAACAACCGACGAACCAGAAGAGACGACCGCTGCTCCCGAGGAGTCCACAACAGAAGAGCCCGAGGAGGACTCTACAACAACCAAAAAACCTGAGGATCAAACTACGACCGACGAGCCGGAAGAGTCGACCACTGCTCCAGAAGAGTCCACAACCGAAGAGCCCGAGGAGGACTCTACAACAACCAAAAAACCTGAAGATCCCACTACGACCGACGAACCAGAAGAGACGACCGCTGCTCCAGAGGAGTCCACAACCGAAGAGCCCGAGGAGGACTCTACAACAACCAAAAAACCTGAAGATCCCACAACAACCGACGAACCAGAAGAGACGACCGCTGCTCCAGAGGAGTCCACAACCGAAGAGCCCGAGGAGGACTCTACAACAACCAAAAAACCTGAAGATCCCACTACAACTGACGAACCAGAAGAGTCGACCGCTGCTCCAGAGGAGTCCACAACCGAAGAGCCCGAGGAGGACTCTACAACAACCAAAAAACCTGAAGATCCCACTACGACCGACGAGCCAGAAGAGTCGACAGCTGCTCCAGAGGAGTCCACAACCGAAGAGCCCGAGGAGGACTCTACAACAACCAAAAAACCTGAAGATCCCACCACAACCGACGAACCAGAAGAGACGACCGCTGCTCCAGAGGAGTCCACAACCGAAGAGCCCGAGGAGGACTCTACAACAACAACAAAACCTGAAGATCCCACTACGACCGACAAGCCAGAAGAGTCGACAGCTGCTCCAGAGGAGTCCACAACCGAAGAGCCCGAGGAAGACTCTACAACAACAACAAAACCTGAAGATCCGACTACGACCGACGAGCCAGAAGAGTCGACCGCTGCTCCAGAGGAGTCCACAACCGAAGAGCCCGAGGAGGACTCTACAACAACAACAAAACCTGAAGATCCCACTACGACCGACAAGCCAGAAGAGTCGACAGCTGCTCCAGAGGAGTCCACAACCGAAGAGCCCGAGGAGGACTCTACAACAACCAAAAAACCTGAAGATCCCACTACAACCGAGGATCCAGAAGAAACTACTACTGATGCTCCAGAAGATTCGACAACCGAAGCACCCGAGCTCCCTACAACTACAAAAAAACCCGAGGAGGCCCCAACAACAATAGCACCAGATGTGTCGACTACCGCTGATCCAGTAGATGAAGAAACGACGACCGAAGAGCCTGAGGAGGTATCCACAACTGGCCCTCCAGTGGTTCCTACGACGACCCCTAGACCCAATGAGCTTCCTTCCACACCTCCAGAAGTTTCGTCAACAACTTCTTTGCCCATCGAGCGCCCTTCAACAACTGAGGGGCCGCCCGAAGTTCCCAACACAACCTGGGCTCCGGAAGTTCCACCAACTAACCCACCTAAACCCCCTCCGGGCACAAAGAACATTTTCATCTTTAACGTCTTTTTGGTGAACGTAAAAATTGAAAATCACTAAATTCACGTCCATCTGCGGACGAAAATAATAGCAATAAAATCAAAACAAAATTGCATACCATTAAAAGCTTAACACCAATAAAATGAGAGTTGTTTCTTCTATATTTTATCAAGGGGAATTGACCTAGCTTCTGGAATGATTCACATTGAATAGTAACAGCGATCCCAAATTCCTTGTTATTTTTCAGGTTTATCAGTTCGACCAGTTGATAATTATTGAGACAGAGAACGTGTTGGCTAGTACACAAGTTCGCTTATCACATTAACGCCAGTCACTGCTGCTTTCGATGGAGGCAATAAAAAACTTTCCGAAAAGTCCCAGCTACCAAATGCCTACTTCCCAATTACGGTGAATTATTAACTTGAAACGTATCGTATGAGGTTATTTATTATTCATGCGAATTCAATCGTCTATATATAGGTTATATTCAAGGCGTTAAAGTGTCTGCCTGTTGAGAGATATCCACTGTATTTCTCGGGCTCCGAGTCATTGGTTTTTTGGTAGAGTTTTGTTTTCGGATTTTGTGATTTTCGTCTTATCGGGTAGAGAACATATTGCTAGATTGTAAATTTCTATTCTGTCTGCTCACAGACTTTATCTACATCAACAAGGCATTCTCTTTGGGGCACATTAAAGTAGTTACCAGGGGGACATTTAAGATTTTCGACATCTCCTTGAATGCATTGTCTGTATCCAGCGCAGTCCTGGGGGTCTTCTTCGCGAGCTCCTTCTTCACAAATTTCGATATTCGTGACACAAATACCCCTCCTATCCACCAAACAGGACTTTGTTGAGAGATCGAAGTAGGAGCCATAGGGGCATAGTTTCTGCACTAGTTGTCCATATTTGCATATTAGATACCCTGCGCAGTTATTTGGATCTAGTTTCAGCTGTCCTTCGAAGCATTTCTCAAGTGGATCAGCACACACTCCATTCTTGTAGGTACTGCAGGTTGGCTCTGGTAAGAACATCGGCGGAGCAGAATCGTCAAGTAGAACTTCTTCCGGGTAATAGTCCTCCCCATTCTTAACGCAAACTTTATGCTCATCAGCAAGGCAACCTCGTTCGGCCACATTAAAGTATTTTCCTTTGGGACATTTAAGATTTACGACCACACCTTGAGTGCATTGTCTGTATCCAGCGCAATTATTGGGATCCTCTTCACGAACTCCTTCGACGCAAAACTTAATGTTGGTGATACAAGTAGCCCTAATATCCACCGAACATATTTTCAATTTGGGATCGAAGTAGAAGCCACTGGGACAGTTTTCCGCCTTCAGTTCTCCATCTGAGCAATTAAGGTATCCTGCACAGTTGTTGGGATCCATTTTAAGCCTTCCTTCTGTGCATTTTGCAAATGGGTCATAGGGAGTGGTAGTCTCCAGAACGGATATAGTAGTTGGGGAATCAGTAACATTTATCTTTGCAAATTGATCCTGATCTTCCTTCTTTAACTGGTCACATACTTTATTCACGTCAATAAGGCAATCTCCTTGTGTAATATTAAAGTATTTGCCCTGGTCACATTTCACTTTCTTAATCTCACCTCGAATGCATTGTCTGTATCCAGCACAATCTTCGGGATCTTCTTCGAGAGAATATTCAATACAAAATGCACTATCAGGGATAATAGTACTTGTATTTCCTATTGAATTGCTGATCTCATTGGAAGTGGATGTCTGCAAAGCAGAATTAGTAGTTTGCCAACTGGAAACAGTACTCGTTGTATATTGATATTCAAGCAATTCAGCAGGACTGCTGATCTCATTGAAAGTGGATGACTGCAAAGCAGAATCAGTAGTTTGCCAATCGGAAACAGTACTCTCTGTATATTGATTTTCAAGCAAATCAGCAAGACTACTCTCCGTTATTAGGGGCCAATCGGATGTAGTACTTTCCGTATATTGAAGCAAATTGGCAATATGAATTTCTGCAATATTTGTTTTTGCGTATTCAGGACCCTCTGTATAAGTTATTTCGTCATGTTCAGGACTCTCTGTATAACCAGGCAAGTTGGTTGAAGTTCTTTCGCCATGTTCAGGACCCTCTGTATAACCAGACAAGTCGGTTGAAGTTCTTTCTGCATACTCAGGACCCTCTGTATAGCCAGGCAAGTCAGTTGCAGTACTCTCCGTATATCGAAGAAAATTGGCAGTTGTAGTTTCCGTTCCTTGATCAGGAGTAGTACTATCAGTTTGCTGCTCGATGTCAGTGGTTCTTTCCGTATATTGAGGTTGTACATCCTCCATGTCGAAACTCAAGTCAACTACAAGTCTTTCCGCATATCGAATCAAATTGGCAATAGTGGTTTCCGTAGATTCATCATCAGTAGTACTTTCAGTTTCTCGGTCGAGGTCAGCAACAGTACTTTTCGAATATGGAGGTTCTACTTCGACAATGTCAACTTCGTCATCTGACTTTACACAAACTCCTACCAAATCAAGGATGCATTCTCCATGAGTCTCGTTGAAATAACTTCCAAAAGCACATTTGAGATTTTCGGTTTTACCTTGAATGCATTGAGTGTATCCAGCACAGTTCTGAGGATCTTCTTCCCGAACTCCTTCAATACAATGTTTGATCTTAGTGACACAAACACCCTGACTGTCCACTAAACAGGTTTCCAACTTTGGATCGTAGAAGGATCCACTAGAACACTTCTCCTCCACGAATTCTCCATTTATGCACTTTAGATATCCTGCACAGTTATTGGGATCCAAGTTTAGCAGCCCTTCAGTGCATTTAGCTGGAGGCTCAACACACACTCCATTTAAATCAACGGTGCAGACTTTATAAGTGGGTTCAAAGTAACTGCCACTGGGACAGCTTTTAGTTTCAAGTTTTCCATTCTGACAGTTAAGATAACCAGCGCAGTTAGTGGGGTCCACCTGCACTTCACCTTCATTGCACTCACTTGATGGAGATGAACAGACACCATTCTCATCCAGCTGGCAGAGTTTAAAAATGGGTTCAAAGTAGCTACCACTGGGGCACTTTTCCTTTACAACGACTCCACCGATGCAATTCAGATATCCTGCACAATCGTCCGAATCCGCTTGTAGTTCTCCCTCCACACATATTTCCCTCTGAGATTTGCAGGACCCTCTATGATCCATGCGGCAACTTTTTGATATTCCATTAAAGAAACTTCCATCAGGGCACCTTTCCCTCACCAGGTTTCCATGAAGGCATCTAAAATATGTCACACAATCCTTAGAATCCTCAAAAAGATCTCCATTGAAACATTTTCTTCGAGATGTAGGGCAGACACCAAGCTCGTCCACCACGCATATCTCATTATTTTTTTCAAAATAACTCCCATTGGGACAATTAAAGTGCACAGTTTCATCATCGAGACACTGAAAATAGCTGGCACAATCGTCGGCATCAACAGCTACAAAACCCTCTGTACATTTTACAGAGTCCTTAATGACAGAGCTTATAGATGGATGTATCAGACAAATAAATGCCAACATACAATAACCTAAGCCAGGAAAAAATCCATTAGTTTCCTTGAGAATCTATTTTTGGAGCGTGTTCTCACCTTTGTAAATCATCCGTACTTGTTGCAACTTCATTTTCCTATATTTTTGCAATGAGACCCCCTCAATGCAATTTCTGCTTTTATATTGCAGCTCCATTAGCTCTGTTGTCACTCTTGATAAGATAGAGTTATGACCTTAACACAAAGAACTTACATATGTTCCGTCATAAGTGGCAAATAGAAAATGTGTAAGGAAAACCTCTCGAGTGACTCAGCAACTAAATTATTATTAGAAGGTAAATAATAGTTCAAACAACCAATAACGTATCCATAATATCTCAAATAACCAAAGGGACAGCTGAAAAGGGTTTAGCCTGGGACAACCCAAATTAAAATAAGTTTTATTACAAAGTGAAAACGAAAATATTCACAACAATGAATGACAAGACCCGGACTGTATAATCCATGGTTGAGTTCACACTTTGTGTCCACTGATTTGCATATTTTCATCAGTTAGTTACCCCACTTGTTCGAGTTGAGGTTTCCCCGGGATAACAACTAAGGATTTAACATACGAAAAGAGCCCAGGAGTTGTTGCTTTTTGGGCAAAGGTCAAAGGGGTCTGACGAGCCAAAAATACATCTAACACATTCCAGTTGCCAGGGGGTCATTATTCACTTTAAGACAAGCATCCTCTAGCCAAATAATTTACCTTTCACTACCACTCTAAAATTTATCAAAATACAGGTGGTTAGTCGACGTTTTCACCCATTTTCCGTCTGTTTTTCGGGACAGTTCGGTGGAAAACATTTGAAAAACTCGTTTGTTGCGGTTGAGCATTTCAGTATGCCAAACTACAAAACCCGCACCCAATTGAAAGCCAATAAATATTCTCTTTGTTTTTCTAAAGCAAATCGTTCATTTACTAACCTTTTTAGACGAATTTCTCTAGTGTTTTTAGTGGTTCGGTTCCCAAATGACTTAAAAGGTAAACAAAAAATACTCTCTAACCAACTAATGACACCAGCCGTCGGTTGGACAACCACTAAAAAATGTCAACAATTGTCGCAGCTCTGGGAATTGAACCACTCTCCTTCCTACTTTTACTTTTTGCAAAAAAGAAAAAAAACATTCCTATGAAAGTAAATTGAAATGTCATTAGCCTTTCTTACACAAGAAATACTTGTTACAGTATCTAAACATTTTTGTAGAACCATTAAAATAATGGTTTAAATCATTTTATTTTTCAGCAGGGTTTTTCTCTTCGTGCATTTTCGCATTTAATAAGGACAAAGGCTGTTTGTGAATCCATTTCTTCGGCTCAGTTGTCTTACATAATGAGGAACATTTCTATGGAATGCCTGTCCCCCACAACAGCTGGAATAATTCTCAAGGCAACGTCAAAGGCCAATGCATTCTTCTGGGAACCAATTCGAAATCTAGAAATTAAAACAGGGGCCACTAAAAGGCTGACGTCGCTTTCCATTTCACTACTCTTTGCAACGCAAAACTCACATAAAATGCTAAATTTGGTGAATTCATTTTTGATTACATTTTATTATCCTTTGGTATGGCACGACATGCGTGGACCAACGTTTTTTTTCTGGGTGAAAAGTGTTGAAGAGCAATTACCCCAAAGCAAATTGGACTTTCCACATGCATGAACTCTTCACCTCACTATAAAACAAAAATCGTGGAATCACTTTGAACGCCATAAAATTCTTTAAAAAAGTGTGAAGCATATTTGTATAATATTAGCAGGTCCTGGAGCATTGAACCTTATCCTTATAAATAAATATCTTCGTCGTATGCAATAATTCACAAAGGATCTGATTCGCCCACTTATTGCATGCTCCTAAAATGTGAAAAATCTTTGACTGTATTTATTTCTATTTCATTTGCATATAATTTGAGCCCGCCTGCCCTAAATCTCAACTTGCTTTTGGAGGAATGCCGTAGGATTCGTGAAAACGAAAAGGCAGTAAAACAATTTGAGTCAGTCTGTACACAAATCGCTGAATGACTTGAAACTTTTGGGCAGATAAACAAAACTCTAAGAGAAAACTTGATGGAAAAGAATTTTTAATATTGGGAGCTGGGCTTGCATCAATCTCAGTCTCAGTGCATCCTGCAGTTTGTTTATGGGATTATCCCGAAAGCCGTTTGAGTTGAGCTCACAAACTTAATGTCGCCCGCCGCCTCTGCAGAAAACAATTTTATAAACACCCACTGTTTTTTTTTTGTGCCCGCAGTCAGTAAACTGTTTGAAAGTTTCGGCCCGGTGCTTTTGTGCGTATTTTGAGTGTAAACAAATTCAATTTGTTGCTGTCATATCGTTGCTCTGGTTATCTTACTAAACATGTTTGCAAAATTCTTGGCAGCATTTTAAGTGCTTTGAAGAACAAAACACAAGTCCTAGTAAACAAAACAGGCACAGCAAAAACGTCACCGAAAAGATACAATATTTTTTACAGAATAAGCAGCTTGGGTAGATTTATTTTAGTTGCCCATTTAATTTTGTTTACTATGCTGTTTATAAAGTCTGCTCAAAGATTCTACTACTCAACCTGCACTAAACCAGAAACAATTGAATGCTTTTGTTATCGGTTAAATTTTAATTAGGAATACAATTTATGTTAGGCCAAAAATTGCACATATCAGCAAAAACAACTTCCAATTGCAGCTTTGATATGCTTAAATCAAAATAAATAATAAAACATACTTCCAAAAATTGACTGCCTCTGTGGCAGTGTTTTCAAACAAATGCTAATTGATCAATGCAAGCCGTAAAGTAGAGAAACATGTATTTTGCCAGAAAAAAGATTATTAAAATCCAATCAAGAACAAACCAAATTCTGTTCCTCCTGAAATAATGAACAAATGTTCATTTCAGATGGGGAATTTAGTACTTTATTTTGTGTTCTCGCCATGTTGAACATGAACCTTTAGAAAGCAAATGTCGTTTGATACCGAGATATCAAAAAACGAACCAATATTTAACAACGAATTGTTTATTTTTGAGCTTTTGCAATATGTGTAGTTTGCCACAAGCTAGTTTATTTACGAAATAAAATGACATGGACCCTTGTCAAATCATTGGCACTGTATTTCATAACGAAAAAAGAAAATAAAATGGTGATGTAAGCGCACTTCAAACTTACAAAATATTTTGGTTAATTAAAAAGATTTATTGAAGTTAGCTTCACTTTTCCTATATGTTCCTTGCAATTTCTTAAACAATTTTGTACAGTCAAATATTTTTTTGACACATTAAATTTTCTTTATTCCCTTCAATTTTGTTGGTACACAAGTACAACAAGTAAAAATCTTGTTGATTGGTATGCATAAATTCATTTTCCTGGCGTAAAAATTGAAAAAATCTAAAAAGGAAAAAGTAACAAGTGGGGGAGGTCAGTGGTAAATTCGAGCCCAAAAAGCGCTGTCAAAAATCCAAGTGAACATGCAAAAAATGATGGGAATAATAATAAAAATATTATTTATTGTGCTGCTGAAAATGACGAGGAAATGCCACCAGTTGAGTATATTACTGCTCGCTGAGTTGATATTGATTTTGGCAGCTGCCTCCGATCAACCAGGACATATGCAAATCCCACAAATCGGTAAGTGTACTTTGAATCAATAAGCCAAAATTCGCATCATGTAGACAAGGCAAACAGATAACAGAGTGTCAATGAAGGCAATAAATCTTCTAAGCACCAAGCGACACGCGTCGACATTAAATCGGCACATAAACCGAGCCAAGAGTGTCAAGTCAGAAAAGTGGCTAAAAAAATCTGGCTCAAAGCAATCTACCAGCTTAAATCAAACGCAGGACAATTAAAGCTGAAGCCCCCATAGGAACTCCCGAAAAATGGAGACAAATTGATGATGAAGTTGGGTTTAACCTTTAAAAAAGCTGGAATGCATGGGCGAAATTTCTACACAAGGACTTAGCCTTTAAAGCTGCGTCATTTTGGTAGCATTCTGCATAATTTACAATTAACCCAGCCACACATTGTTGTCCAGGAAAGTAAAATGGATGGGAAACTTAGGGGCTAAAACCGGCTAAAGTCCCTTACATGCAATATTTACAACGACAGCAGCGACAATGTGGCAAATGCTTTATATTTTTTATGTCCAGCTGAACTACAGCTCCTGCAGCACAAGAAACTGCTGATTGATGTTGTTTCCGGCAAGGACCCCGGATAATGTAATACAAAATGGGAATTTATAAAGAATTTGTATAGCCTTTAATTTATAAAGAGCATGTAAGCAATGAGTTTTCTTAAGCTTAGACAGATTAAATGAAGGAATGCTCAAAAATAATAACCACAAAGTGGGTTTTATTTCTGGGAAACTGCACTTATCTTGGCAGAAATACAATTATTTTTCGAAAAGGAATAACGACTGAAACAGCTTTTAAGATTTAGTCAAGGCTTGAACTAAATATTTTAAACTTTAATTTAAGACTTTTTCAACGTTTAAATGCAATATAATAATCTTGCAGAATAAATCTGAAAAATTGCACTGAAAATGAGTGCACAAGCACATGTGCGATGAATATTTAAAAAATGTATTTAACTTTTTGACGTGAATTGACACTTTGAAATGGGTTGAATTGACAGGCTCTTGTTCGTAGTGGCTGGTGAATCTAATTTAACACATATGGCAGGCGCACCAAAGTCTCGAAACCCTTATTGACTGAACTAGGTGAGTTTGCCTGCAACTCGTCCATGATTTCTGGTCATGTGTTCGGAGTTAATTCCACCCAGAACCGAGCAGATGTGTGAAACTCAGCCAAATGCTAATGAGCGGAAACAACAGAAGCCGGCGGAGAGGACAATCTGATTAGCAGGTAAACAAAGCTCATTACAACTCACCTGGTGCAGTGCAGCGGGCAGGAAGGGAGCCCCCGAGATGGTCAGTCTATGCGCACAATGTCAATGTCAATGCCAATTTAAATGGCCCAAAACAATGGCCCACACTTTCACTTGCACTCACTCACTTTCGCGTATTGCGTATACGCACTGGTGGATTGCTGGTAATAGTCGCAGTTTATTAATTGTTTATTGTTTACCGATTGTTTTTTCACTGTTTATTGCCACTCAGCGCAATAAACTGAATTGCTGTTTTTTAATGGGCTTATAACATAAGTCCGTTTTCAGATTCGAATTCGCAAACGATTGGGAAAAAGTTCAAGGAGCACACGCCCATTAACGATGCGACTCGCGCGAGCACAAAAAGCGAACTGAATGTGCCGCCGCACTTTTCATCCGACTTTTCTGGCGGACTGACTGATGATCAGCCGGCCACGAAACTCGGGCATTCGGGCCACCCAACATCGGGCTCCTTTTCCTTTTTCCGGCTTTTCCCGCCCACATGTTGCCACATCGCTTTGCGCAGGCACCGGAATCCAAAACACAACCAACTGTTCGATTTGGCGGGAAATCTTGGCAACATGTTGCTGTGGCCACAATCCTCCCTTCCTGCTTACTCACTTACCATTTTGGCCATTACTATTACGATTATTGGCCAAGCAGAGCAATGAGGAAAGCCCTCAACAGTCTACCGCAGAAATTAACAAATCGTAACGCAATTATGCAGGCTGTAAATCCGCCAAGGTCACGTCTTCACTCAGGGTCAATTATCATTTCAGCCGGAATTTTGGCCAACATTAAATTACTCAAACGAGAAATTCATTGCTGTTTTTCTGATTCACATGTTGATAGAGTGGGCCATTTGTTGTGCATTAAAGAAAGTATGAATTGGTATATAAGAAAAAGAGTTTCGGATAGCAATTGCATTTTAATGAAGTAGAGAGTACTTCATACTAAGATTAAATAGGAAATAAGAACTGATAATACATTTTTAAAGGGAATAATTAGATGTTTAAGGATTAGGCAACTATAATATCTAGATATTTGCAGAATTAAAGAGAGAGAGTAACAATAACGATATACGTAGTAATTTGTTGGCAGTCACAAAAATAGATAATGGATATGTATAAAATAACATTTTATTAGTGATTTATAATTTAAAAAAAAATGATTAAAAAAACGTTCTTTTTTTATATATATTCGATTTTTATTATCTAGACGACTTTATTAAAACAAATGTAACAAGTTTAACAAACGAACAAACAACGATATGTGCATGTGAGGGGAGGCATTGCATGTGGCACGTGTGCATGTGTGAATTGGGAACAGGGGATTGGGCTGAGGTGCATCCAATGGACATTCGACTATGACAAAGTGTGAAATTGGCTAGGGCATCACTGCCTTCTCTTCGCCCGGGTCTCATTTCACTTCAGCTTCTTGAGGAAGAAGCGGTTGGGAGGACCGTAGCTGGCGGCGGGCACATGGGATGAGATGGGGGCCAGGCGCTGCTCGGGCTGCTGCTGCTCCTCCACGACGATGGGCGCCATCGAGGGCTCCTCGCGGGCCAGGTTGGCGGGAGCGGTGGCGGGGGGCAGGTACTGGTTGGAAGGGGCGGACAAGGTGGTCTGCACCTCCTCACCGGTGTAGGCAGCGGCGGTGGGTGGGCCATAGACAGCAGCGGGAACGGCTGGCTGCTCCACCTCCGGCTCGGGAGCCAAAGTGGTGGGTGGCAGGACATCGGCGACCTCGGCCAGAGGAGCAAAGTCCTCGGCGGTGGCCTGGCGGGGCTCCATCTCCGCTGGCGGGGGTCCATAGACGGGGGCCTCCTCCTTCTTGGTCTTATACTTGATGAAGTACACCTCCGGCTTCGAGGGCTTGGTGGGCGGTGCCGTCGGGATCACGATGTCCTGCTCCTGCTCGGGCTTCTTGTGCAGCACATAGATCAGGGTCTTCTCCTCGTTCTGGGGTGGTGGTGGCACCACTGGCTGACGGATGGCCGGGGCAGATGGCGCCTTGATGAACACGATCTTGTAGTGCTTCTGCTTGGGTCCCTGCTGGTGGTGGACACGCGTCTGGATGGCATCCTCCTCCTCGAAGTCCTTTGGCGGCACATGGACGTATATGTGTTTGTGCACCTTGGTCTCCTGGGGGCCGTTGTTGTAGCCACTGGCATGCTGGACTCCGGACAGGCGGTGGGCCATGTTGTAGCTGTCATCGTAGGCATTCAGGGGCTGTGCGGCAGCGGCGGCAGTGGGAGCCACTTGCTCGATGGCCTCCAGTTGCATTTGGGGTGGCAGGTAGGTCTGCTGGGGGGCAGCGAAGTTGGCGAACGACTGCTCCTGGGGCAGGGACTGGTAGATCTGAGGGGGCACGGGGTGAACTGGTGGGAAAAAGGGAAGAATTTGATTAAATATTGGATTCATAGGGATCATTATTTAAGGAAAATCCTTTTAAGATACAGTATGTTTGCATACAATATTTTAAAAAATCCTTTTTGTGTAATAACCTTTTTTTATATATATAATTGCAAAGTAATTATTACTCTAAGGTTAAATTAAATAAAATCTTGATCAAATTGTAATATGCCATTTATAAAAAATTATAATTAAAGTCAATGAATATAATCAAATACTATGATATTTAATTGCAGCTCCAAAAAAATATGATCAATTATTATGTTTTGAACACTAAGAGATTTTAGGATGTTCAAATTACTTTGTAATCTTCGACTTATCATAAAGATATAATATAAAGCTTTTGAATTAGAACTTTTCCAAATTGAGGTGACAATCCCTTATAGACAATGTTGTTTTATCCCTCGGCACTCACCATTTAGTGGCAAAGCCCTCTGGCTCTGCTGCTGGGGTAATCCGTGGTAGGAGTAGGGGGATGGGGGCTCAGGACGACCCAGAGTGGTGGCCACCAGGGAGGCCACGCACACAACGAACAGCGACGAGACACGCATATTGCTCCTGGTAATCGAAATTCCTTGGCTGCTAAATAAACCCGTAATCCTTTGGCTCGATGGGATGCTTCGCTGGAGAAGCACGATGCTCGACTGATGCTGACTTGGTCGCCGCTGCCCGAATTTATATGATTCGATGTTCGAAGCTGAGTGCTCAAGATCTCATTACAAAAGGTAAACGAAAAATGAATTCAATTAAGCATCAAAAGAGACGCGAAGAGCGACGGATGAACTTGGCCAAAAGCGACGAAGAGGCAAGATATAGATACCAATGCAGAGAGGAGTCTGCGACACGTGTCTTTTGGGTTCACAAGCGAGAAATTAGAGCAAACCCGGCTGCAAATTTAGTCTGCCAACAGGGGGCAGCCCCATAGTCCAAAATCAACGCCCTGGGCCTACAATCATCCATATAGTTTGTGTAACACTCTCATACGAGTATCTCATGTCTTGTATCTTGTATCTCATATCTCTCATCCATAAGATGCAGCTGCCGCAACCTTCGCCGAAGTGCGCCAAGTGTTATTTTCACAATTGGAGCGCACTTAAATCGCTGGCTCGAAATCGAAAGTGACCCACGATTACACACTCGACCGAGTCCCATTGATGAAGTTCATTCATGTGACGCCTCGAGGAACTTGTTTGTCCAGTTTGGACCTCCTCGCCAGCCGGGTCAAGTGATTCCCCGGGCATCCGGCACAAAGTTAATCCATATTTTCACAGGATTAGCTTAAAACCTACAAAACGGACAATAAAAATGGGGCAACACAGTTATTGTTAGTATACAGATTTTTAAGTCCAATTTAAAATATTACTTTACTGCATATTGCCATAATGAATATTCCTTAACGTTAAAAATATTATTCTCATATTAAAATATATAACACATTTGTACATCCCGCCTTAAAATCATTATATTGTCATTTCTAACAACCATTGCATTAGTACATAAAACAATATTATTTAAAGTTTCCTTTTATAAACACTCAAAAAGAGCCCAGTCATGGTCCATAATGCACTTTACTAAGGCTTACAGCCCATTCTTAGCCCTGACATATTCGTCGTACAACTAAAAATACACCCAGTCATCAGACCAAAAATAACACAATAAAGAAGGGCTTTTCAAGGCCAGTTCATAATTTCCCCCAACTGTCAACGGCGGACACTTTCAACACCTACGACAACAATTACGAAACAATCGTAACAAAATCAAAATCAATTTTCAAATTGAAGCCTAACATTAAGCGTTGAAAACGAAATCGAAACAATAAGTAATAAAACAAAACATCAGCTACCCAAATAAAGAGAATAGCGAGCGGCGTTTAATTGGATTTGGTGCACAAAACACGGCGATGGATCGAAAGTAAACAGACCCAGCTGAATCGAGACACTTGTCCACTTTGCTGTCCACACACAGAAATCATAAATCGTAATTGCAGACGACGCATCTCAACGCAGCCAGCTGGAGAAATGTCGAGTGCCTGTACCGACATATGTTACTTATGGGTATGGCTATGGGTATACCTGTAAGGTGGTACAAGAAGCTGGGGGGCGTACGTAATGGCAACAAGGTTTCGGGGCTTTACGTCACCGATCGAATCGATTGGAAATTGGTGCACTTGGCCACCGATGAAGAAGCCCAAAGAGTCAGCCTCTGACATGGGCATGAAGGGCTCGTCTCGTTGAAAAACATTGCAGGGATGCAAAGATCAATGGAACCATACATTTTTAAGCTAGAAAATAATGCGAGGAACTGACATTTAAAAGATTTTTTATATTACAATGCAAGAAGCGTTTAGAAAAATCAGTAACTTGGTCAAAAACCTGGATAGAGAGATCGATTTTTGATGTCCTTAACACTTACTTAGTCAGATATTTTGATTCATTCCAAATATGCTGAAAAAGTAATAAGGATCCCAGGAGCTAATAACTATCTTAAACTTTTTGGGAGATTTATTGCCCATTAACATAATACATTTAATGAAGAATAATATGAAAACAATGTACCTTATGAGAAAAAATTTAGTCGGGCCCAAGAATATATATTTTTCCATCCCTGGCGAAGAGAAAGAGTGAGAAAGACCCAAAGGAGCTGCCGCAGATTGTGTCATCGATTGTGTTCGAAACTTGGTGAAAACCAGGTCAACAGTGCAGTAGCACATCCACATCCATGAGTTATTGATTTGCGCCGATATCCGATCTCCTGCCCTTCTCCTCTTGGCATTGGCTTTGTCTTCTTTTCTTTTTTTTTTTAGGTGCCCTTCGCATCGGTTCCATTGACATTGCCGGGGAGTTTCGACCCTCTTCGGGGGGAATTTCCATCGGAGCAGCTTAAAAATAGACGGAGCGAGCGGGGATGCGACTCTTGACTTGCCACTTGTTGCACTCAAGTGCCACGAACAGCAAAAGCCATAGAAGAAGCACAACAGTCAACACGAAGGGGCAGAAGCTTTGGGGCTTTGTCATTGAGATGTGGGCCCACAAGTCGATTAGTTGGCCAATGGCAGTGGAGAGGCGCATTCCAGCGCCGGAGAATACGTAGGTCATACGACTTTAAAATCGGAGCAAAAGAAGCTGCGAACCTTGTGGTTTAAGTGGACATAGTGATACGGATACCTATCCTAGAAGTGGGCATACTATTATTAAGACATTAAGATGGCCTACAAATTCACTTTCTTAAATTATGTAATAACTTAAAAATATGCGCTTTTACATTTACATCAATTAACACCCAAACAAATTCAAGTATAAACATTACTCGCTCTCTTTTCTCACCCCAAACCTGAAATTAACCCAAGCAATAATAATTTTGACTTCCACATAAAATGACTTACTGATTTCCGAGAAATGCTCTCGACTACCAAATTAAATAATTTTTATTACACTCCAAAGCAAGTGTATTTTTACTTTTACCACAACACAACACCGAAAATAAAAAGGCAATGCAAACATAACATGCAAATCATGCTCCAAAAAGTTTATAACAACAAATGATCGCAAGTATATGTTATATATTTTAACTGGGTCTTCCAGCCCACACTCTGTAAATTATGACAAATGGCGAATAAATGTGCTCCTATTTCCTCCCCGTTCCCCTCGCTTTCAATACGTTGACAAATCGTTCGGCTAAGAGACTTAATAGCTAGCCCCGGAGGAGCAAAATGATGATGATTACAGCGATCGGCGTCCGTCGATTATCTCGTTAATTTGAGGGGGCAGAGAAGAAGAGCGATTTTGCACCGCTTGCCATTCCGCCCCATCAAGGTCATCCGATTTTAGCACAATTATCGCGGAAGGCCCTTATCCCAGCCCATCATCATCGCCTCCGGTTTTATGTAACTCACTTACAACCGGTGGGAAGTAATTAAAATTGGAGCAAGTCGAGTACTTTTTTTATTAACGAGGGTGTTTTGATGGTTGCCGTGACTGGGTTCCTAAGGCAATATTAATGAGGCTAATACCAGACTTGGTCGCTGAAATAAAGGAAATAAAGTGGTTTTAGGACGAGTAAAATATTTCTCTAGTCTGCATATATATAGAATTAAGTGCGGATTAGTCATCAAAGTGGCTGGTAAAATACAATTTAATTAGACATTTTATGGACTTAGAAATGGTTTTCTTAAGTGGAAAAACCACCTTAATTATATAGGACTTTAAAAGGATTTTTTTTCAGATTTTATAAAGATGAACCAAGGATAACAGCGTTTTTGAGTGGGTCTTTTTAGGTAAGGCCTAACCGAATTGAAGACCACTTGCCATGGAACAATTGTTTTCATCATGTGGTCAAATATTGACATTGAATTATAATGCCCATTGAGACGCAAAGCAATCAAAGGCCTATATATAGAGTCACACACACGGTTATTACCGGCCAAAAGTATAGTGTAAGTAGTGGAAAAAATAACATGGTCGACGAACAATGGCAAGGGGAAAATATTTTGTCACTGACAGCGGTCAAATGACTTGGAAGTAAAGGGTTTTCTTTTCGGGGGATCAGCAACAGCTAACAGCTGTTAGCCAAGTTGATTACTTTTACCGCAGAGTATCTGAAAAATACGCAATCATATACGGATAGTATCTGAAGATCTGCCTGTGCGTATGGTTTCATTGAATTAAGTGCCCGACTAAATGCTGTGAGCCGCAATTTGTATCCAGCGTTTTGTTTATCTACGCTGTCATCTCCTTTTGTTTGGCTCTAGTTTGCCCAGCCCCCAGCCTCCAGTTCAATTAGTTAACCATTTGCAGGCCACTAACAAATTCGCTTGTCAGGCCGACCAAAGCCTTTCCATTTGCCTTTTCATTTCGGCTTTTTAGTGGGCCGTCATCTCTGTTTGCAGCCCAACTGGCAATTAAAAATGTATTTACCAGCACTTTGCCATTATGGAGCACTTATCGCACGACTTGCACTTGACCAGCTCCGATTTGAAGAGGTTTAAATCCAGTCGAAGGACTAGCCCCTAAATGGCCGTTACTAAATGGTGTGACGCCTTAAAAGCCCACTTGTCGTATACTCGATGTGCGATCATAGTCGCTCTCTGGCGCCATCTACATGTCATTTATGATGATAGCTTATCACTGGCGTCTTTCTTCTTCTTTCGCCTTGAACAAGTTCAGGCGATGATGGAAAACGTCAGACTAGAAAAAAAGCTCGCAGAAGCCAAACAATATTAAACGCAAACAAAGAGCCAATGAAGTAGGTTACTGAAGTCTAGGGTTCCAACTTTACTGTACCCAATAAACCATGCTATTCAAACCATTGAGAAATGCTTTGGAAAGCTAGAAATAATTTGTATCCAATCTAGTTAAGAATGCAAAATAAATTAAGATTATGTTATGAGGGGTTTCCTTATCAAATTAACTAACAATATTTACAAATCGATAGTTAATCTTTATTTATACAATATTGTATTATTTTATTTTTATGGTAAGCAACGGTTTCATTGTTAAAAAAGGCTTGCATTTAACTTAGATTTTAGTTTCTTCCAATATAAAAAACATAGTCTGGCATTGCAAGCTCCTTTAAACCTATATCCCCAGATAAAACTCACTGTTTAGGGTATTTAAAAAATTAAAAGACAAAAGCATTCGGCTAACGACTGAGGCACAATCGAACACTCATTTCAGTTGCTCACGAGAAGATCGCCGGTGAGGTATCCGAAACCCACTTACGCTCTCGTTAGCCACATATACGATATATCTCAGGGCAATGCAAACGCCAGAAAACAACGACAGTCAGGTAAATGGTAAATGAGGCTTATCTAGCCGAGATTACAAAACGTATCTCATTACTTTCGTCCACTCGTTTAGCTTATTTTGGTGCAGCAGAATTTAAGAACACTGCCTCAGGAATTAGTTAAGAGCCATGCTGATCATGTAGAAGTATTGGATCTGAGCCACAACTGCCTGAAGGATCTGTCTTGGCTGTCGGAGTTTGAGCAACTGCGTCATTTGGTCCTGGACAACAATCGAATGCATGAGGCTCATCTTAGGACATTGACACGCCCACTGCCGCAGTTGGAGATACTGATGCTCAATAAAAATGAGGTGGGTTCATAGGCACCACTCTTAATCCCCAGTTCAATCAACCGAATATTGTAATTTCTTATCAAATGAATATACTCGATTCCAGTTCAATGACCTACCCACGACAATGCGACTGATCAGAAGGTTCTTTCCCAACCTTGAGTATTTGAGCCTCCATGGCAATCCTATCTGCCCAGATGGCTTGGAACTGCAGCCCTTCTCCAGTTACCTGCGCTACGACTACGCGTACTACAGGTGGGGTCTGTTACAATATTGAGTCTTCTATACTTAGCTGTCCACCTGTTTCAGCAACTACATTGCACAGTCGCTCAGCAAACTTAAATTTCTGGATCACGGGCTGGTTCAACGCACCTACCAGTACGAAAGTTTCCCGCTCAAAAACTATGCTGGAAAACCACTAATACAAACTACTAGTTTCTGATGTGGTGACCCCATTAAGTTGAAAACATGTTTTTTCCAATTCAAAATAAGATTATAAAGTCTGGTTATAAGTATACATATAAAGCACTGGAATATTAATAAAATGCAACTAATTTGTATTAATTTAAAAAAATTAATAATAAACTTTAAATTTATTTGTTTATCTTCGAATTTTGTTGATTTTTTACCGATTTGTAAAGATATGGCAGTAAAAAAAGATCTATGGATTAAAAATCATATTCTGTGTTATTTTATAATACTAATATTTTCAATATTATTAAGGTTTATTTAAACATTTAAAGCTACAACAATGGAACCCCTTTTATGATATAAGACAAACCTCTAAAAAATATTACAAAATTTATACATAGCCAAGACCCAAACCAACCACCAAAAGCTTTAATACATATGTATGTCAATTTAAGAAACGAAGCAATGCACAAAATAAATTTTGCGATAAAGCACCCACCAAAAGGATGTCTAAATTAAACGAAGACTAAGTTTAATCTCTGATTAATGCGCTACAAAAAGTTATGGAAAAATATATTTAAAATATATGAAAACAGATCTAAGCTCAATACTTTCGAATTGATAAAAATATATTCTAGGAAATACATTTTAAATTTAGAAATATTCCAAAATCGATGGACGATTTCTATAAATGGCAGGGTGCATATAGAAATGTTTGTTTGTCTGCCGGCCGGCATAAAGTAGAGATAATTCAGAGGACCGACCACAACAAAGCAAAAAAGGTGATGAACGGCAGTGCAAAAACAAATCGTTGATAGCCAGTTATCGGGGTCTATATAAACGGACATCTGGCAGCGTTTCAAATTCAGTTTCGCGACGACTCCCAGACAGCCGGTCTCTATTCCAGTTCTTAAAAGTGCATATACATTGTTCAATATGGCCGATTCCAACGCCAAGCCCAAGTACACAAAAGTGAGTATAAATATTGTGTTGCCAACTGCATATTAAATATACCTAACCGAAATGCAGATAGGATGCACTTAATATATTACAATAGGAAAACCTTACCTAATAGTAACTTGCCACTTAAATCTCAGGCCACTTTAAACTTGTTTGTGTCGCAATTTAAAAAATTCTTGATTTGATTTTTTGTCTCTTGGCTGCTGGACTCCTTATACATAGGAATATACTTTTTCAGAAAAAAACAGCTTTTTGTTTGTTCTCAGATACAGGGTGTTAAAGCTGTTATCACCACAAGAACAGATTCAGCCCAAGTAAAGCCATAATAATTAGCTGATAAGGTATATGTTTATAGGGGACCAACATGAACATGCCATCCGATACGAATGAGACTTTGAGTCTTATAGATCTGTGACGAAATTACCAGTTATTCTATAAAATTAAAAATATTCAAAATGCTAGCTTCCTTTTATCTGGGAAAGTAACTCAATTTTTTAAATATACCCTTAATACCCTTATACCCATTTAGTAGTTGCCAATTAACTACTTTATGTGAGTACATTATCTTGAAAGCTTAAAACTCAGTACTTACAGGTTCTTATCGCCCATTATAATATCGAAAGACACCAGATAGTCCTAAACGACTTTAGTTAGCTGTCAACTGTTTTGTTTTGTTCATAAACTCGACAATTTGAAATCGTGACTAGAATTCCGCTTGCCATTGTTTAAACTGTCGCGTGTCTACGTAAAATTGAAATGGGCCAATCTACAGGGCTGATAACTTGTTTGAGCGGATAAGTAATCGCAAACAAACTGGGCTATTAATAATGCACAAATTGCACAAATTACCGGCACACCAGGGAATTCGTTTGGGAAAGTGGATGAGATTTGATCATAGCTATGCACACTGCGAACCCAATTGTTGTCAGGTGGGGGAGGAATCTGGGGTTCAGGTTACTGGCTATTAAATCACAATCTATTAATCCTGTGATTTAATTATAGCTCTTCATCAACAATGAGTTCGTTGATTCGGTGTCGGGTAAGACCTTTGCCACTTTCAACCCAGCTACGAACAAGGAGATAATCAAAGTCTCCGAGGGAGATAAGGTAAGTGCAGTCTTCTAGAGAGATATGGGAAAGTGGAAAAATTATATGGTACCATACATTATAATGTTGATAGGCTGACATTGACCGGGCTGTGATTGCGGCCAAGAAGGCCTTCCATCGTGACTCGGAATGGCGCCAGTTGAGTCCTCTGCAGCGCACTACTCTGATGAACAAGTGGGTTTGACCCCATATCATTGCTAGAATAAATGTAATACTAATCTCCTGCAGACTCTGTGCTTTGATGGATCGTGACAAGGCATTCCTGGCCAGCTTGGAGTCCCAGGACAATGGCAAACCCTACGCCGAGGCCCTTTTCGATGTGACCTACTCGGTGTTGACCCTGCAGTATTATGCCGGCTGGACTGACAAGTTCTTTGGTGACACCATTCCCGCTGGAGGCTTCACCTCGATGACCCGCAAGGAACCCATTGGCGTGGTGGGCCAGATCATCCCCTGGAACTATCCCCTGCTGATGCTGGCCTGGAAATGGGGTCCCGCCCTGGCCGTTGGATGCACCATCATCATGAAGCCCGCGGAGCAAACTCCTCTGACTGCCCTCCACATGGCTGCTTTGGCCAAGGAGGCGGGTTTCCCGGCCGGAGTGATCAATGTGGTGAACGGATTTGGACCCACTGCAGGAGCTGCCATCAGTGAGCATCCCGATATTGCCAAGGTGGCTTTTACCGGCTCCGTGGACATTGGAAGGATTGTGATGCAAGCTGCCGCGAAGTCGAACTTGAAGAGGGTCTCCCTGGAGTTGGGCGGCAAGAGTCCCGTGGTGGTCTTCGATGATGCAGATAGTAAGTGGTTTCTTCTCTGAAAATTTGATCTTAACTATAATTTGAGTCGCCCTATATAGTTGACTTTGCTGTGGAGACCACCCATGAGGCCCTGTTCTCCAATCACGGCCAGAGTTGCTGTGCCGGCAGTAGGACCTATGTCCACGAGAAGATCTACGATGAGTTCGTGGCCAAGGCAGCTGCCAAGGCCAAGGCCCGCAAGGTGGGCAATCCCTTCGAGGCGGATGTGCAGCAGGGTCCCCAGATCGACCAGGAGATGCTGACCAAGGTGTTGGGCTACATCGAGAGTGGCCAGAAGGAGGGTGCCAAGCTGCAGGCTGGCGGCAAGAGGATCGGCAATGTGGGTTTCTTCGTGGAGCCCACTGTCTTCTCGGATGTTAAGGACACCATGCGCATTGCCCAGGAGGAGATCTTCGGGCCCGTGCAGTCGATCTTCAAGTTCAGCACTTTGGAGGAGATCATCGATCGAGCCAACAATGTGCAATACGGCCTGGCCGCCGGCGTTATTACCAATGACATCAACAAGGCCCTGAAGTTCGCCAATAACGTGGATGCGGGATCCGTGTGGATCAACTGCTATGATGCCGTCCTGCCCTCCACTCCCTTCGGTGGCTACAAGCACTCGGGAATTGGCAGGGAACTGGGAAAAGATGGTCTGGACAACTACCTGGAAACCAAGACCATCACCATGAAGCTGCTTTAAGCAGGAACTTAAAGAGTTTCTTACTTCGTATACACAATATTTGTATTTTATTCGCACTTGTTTTCGCACTTGTCAATGGTTAGACTATTGCATTTTTAAAATAAAACATTTGGATTAAAGTTATCAGGGGTTAAAAACTAGGGGATCGATTGGAAAATGTGGCTTAACTAGGTATACGATTTTAAAAATTTAAATTGTTTTGTTTTAACAATATTTCAGCCTAAGAGTATGCAATATATTGACCACACTTAAATTTTGATTCTACTGCATCTCCCTATAAAGCCACATTTATGGATAAGATATCGAGGCACGAGTTCCCTAAGCTAAGACAGTGAACAATATCAATTAAATATCGATTGATTAAGGACTCTCGACTGGAGAGTCCTCAAAACTTATTCTATAATCCAGTTAGTTGATATAATATTACTTAGGCATCATCTACTAAACACTAACACATCGTATAAAAATAAACCTGAGATTGCTGAACCTTGGGCCAGCCGTGGGATTAGGCCAAGCTAGTGGGCGGAACCTGGGACTGGCTCTGCACCTCCAGAAGGGGCACTGCAAGATCGCTCAAACGCGACCTGGCACTCTGATAGTCATCCTCCGATCTGGGACGCATCTGCGTCTGGTGCTGCGGACTACTTTGCTGCACTACCTCCGTATAAACTGGCTGAATCTGGATCTGGGGAGCCCCATACCGGTCATTATCGAACATCTCATCGACGTCCACCAGCTGGAAATCCACGGCGAAGATAAACCGCAGTACCATGACCAGCAGAGCGATGATCCACAGCACCATTCCAATAATGTAGCTAGAGCGGAATAGCTCCAGATACGTGTCGTGGGACACATTGTGGTCATGGACGATGGGACGCAGCAGGGCGATGGCATTGCCACAACTGATGGCAGTGGGATCTGTGAGGTTCCCCCTCAACTGGCCACACAACCGCTTAAGATGACCATTGGTCAGAACTGTATAGAGCACGCTGCCCAGACTCATCACCGAGAAAATGATTATCGAAGGCACTACAATGCGCCAGGGTTTCGGCAGAACTCTGAAAAGGGCAATATTATTATTGAAATAACTAATTTAAAGCCCAATACTCACGAGCTCTTTTTGCTGCCTGTCTGGAAGATCAGACACATTGCTGTCCAGATGATGGCCACTATCTCTGATACGAGGGGAAATGCATAGACAAACTGAGCTCCAATGCCTTGACTCCAAATAGTGGAATAAATATCGATGGTCACTTTATGAAAAAGGAATCATTTAAAACCGAAAAATATATTAAAATGTAACACCATACTTGTGCTCAAGAAGTGACGATCTGCCTCAGCATTGAAGGTGATCTTTGGCGGCGGAGTCGTAGTACTCGTGACCAACTCCTCCTTTTTTTCCGCCATGAGACGCTCCAATTTAGGTCGGTTCTCAATGGAATCAAAGATATGCGGTATCTTATACCCTGATTTTGTGGTTTCTGTAAGCAAAAGTGTTATTTGTTTTCAAGAATCAAGTTAATATAAAAGATATCTTACGGCTCTCGCCTTGCAGCGAATCGGG